AGCATGGACCACCATAAGTGACATCTCATGGCTTTGGGCTCCAGAACTGAGAGACTAAAAAAAAACATGCCAATCTAGAACACTGGCAATGTGCACTGGTTAATCTTCTTTCTGTAAAGCACTTTATTTATTTTAAAAGATTTTATTTATTTATTCATGAGAGACACACACAGAGAGAGAAGGCAGAAACACAGGCAGAGGGAAAAGCAGGCTCCATGCAGAGAGCCTGACATGGGACTCGATCCCCAGTCTCCAGGATCACACCCTGGGCTGAAGGCAGCTCTATACCACTGAGCCACCGGGGCTGCCCTGTAAAGCATTTTTAAAAAGAGAGTAATATTTACATAGTAAATGTAGTTACTATGTTAAACATCATACTAGGCACTGGAAGATTATGAGAACAGAAAACAGCATAGACTTCTGAATAAGACACACTTGGAAGTCTGACCCCCAATCTAACCTTTATTTCCTCCTCTGTAAGGGGGAGTTAATGAGAAAATGTAACTGAGGAGAGTGCCTACCACACAATAATAATCAGAGTAATGGGCAACATTTAGTGAATGCTTACTAGGTACCAGACACTGTTTCTAAGGTCTTTACCAAAGTTAATTCATTCTTTCAACAAGTCTATGAGAAAGGTCTACATTTATTAGTTTTAAGGCCTATGAGGAAGGTTTTATATGCATTTTTACAGAAGGAAAAAAAACAGATCCTGTGATGTTATTTGCCCCAAATTACACAGCTAGTAAGTGGCAGGGTTGGATTTGAAAGCAGTATGTCAGAGATTGAGAGCAATTTTGGAACCAAACAGCCTGAGTTAAATGTTTCATAAATATTATGTAACATAGGGATCCCTGGGTGGTGCAGCGGTTTGGCGCCTGCCTTTGGCTCAGGGCGCGATCCTGGAGACCCGGGATCGAATCCCACATCGGGCTCCCGGTGCATGGAGCCTGCTTCTCCCTCTGCCTGTGTCTCTGCCTCCCTCTCTCTCTCTGTGACTATCCTAAGTAAATAAAAATTAAAAAAAAAATATTATGTAACATAATCTTTTTTTTTAATTTTTATTTATTTATGATAGTCACACACACACACAGAGAGTGGGAGTCCCTGACATGGGACTCGATCCCCAGTCTCCAGGATCGCGCCCTGGGCCAAAGGCAGGCGCTAAACCGCTGCGCCACCCAGGGATCCCAAATGATTCCTTAGTTAATTCTCTATGTCAAAAAAATAATTCTCTAAGGATGCCTATTAAATAGGAATTATCCCTACTTACTTGAGGAAACAGGTTTGAGTGACAACAGCATTCTCTTTGCCCAAAAGTAATCTGTGATCCACTCAGTGTTAGCTCCCTGTTTGAGGTGAAGTCCTACAAAACCTGCATTTAGCTGGTTTGGAAGCTGTTCCTTCTGCTAGAAAGGTCCTTCTGCCCTTCCTCTCTGCTAAAATCCCACCCACTCTCCCCACAGCTTATTATTTCTATTTTAATTATACAAATGAATACATAGATACATTCCTGTTGTAAAAGATTTGAATATATAAGCAAATACATTCCTCACTGATGGAGTTTTACATTTTGACCATTTATTCACTATATAAACAATGCCGTAATGAACATAATAGTATATACATCTCATAAAAATATATTCAAGAGGGCTCCTAAAATAAGAATTGCTGTTGAAATAAATTATTTTATTTTATTTTAAAAAATAATTTATTCATTTTTTCATGAGAGACACAGAGACATAGGCAGAGGGAGAAGCAGGCTCCATGCAGAGAGCCCAATGTGGGACTTGATCACTGGACTCCAGGATCACATCCTGAGCCAAAGGCAGATGCTCAACCGCTGAGCCAAGCAGGCATTCCTTAAGTTTTTATTTTAAGTAATCTCTAAACCCAACCTGGGGCTAAAACTTATGACCCTGATATCAAGAGTTGCATGCTCTTCCAACTGAGCCAGCCAGGAGACCCCTGTTGAAATATTTAAAATATTTATAGATCCAGATGCACCTGGGTGGCTCAGTCAGTTAAGTGACCAATTCTTTTTTTTTTTTTTTTTTTAATTTTTTTTTTTAATTTATTTATGATAGTCACACAGAGAGAGAGATAGAGGCAGAGACACAGGCAGAGGGAGAAGCAGGCTCCATGCACCGGGAGCCCGACGTGGGATTCGATCCCGGGTCTCCAGGATCGCGCCCTGGGCCAAAGGCAGGCGCTAAACCGCTGCGCCACCCAGGGATCCCTAAGTGACCAATTCTTGATTTCAGCTCAAGTCATGATCTTGGGGTCCTGCAATCAAACTCTGCATGGGGCTCCATACTAAGCAGAGAGTCTGCTTCTCTCCCTCTGTCCCTCCCCTCACGCACATGGACAGTCTCTCTCAAATAATCTTTAAAAAAAAGATAAAATATTTGTAGGTCCCACCAAATTGTCCTCCAATAGCTTTACTAATTTATTATCCCTTCAGTAGTGTAACTGTGCCTGTTCTTCATCCCCACCAATTATGGTCATTATAAATACTTTTTTTAATTTTTTTTTATTTATTTATTTACGATAGTCATAGAGAGAGAGAGGCAGAGACACAGGCGGAGGGAGAAGCAGGCTCCATGCACCGGGAGCCTGACGTGGGATTCGATCCTGGGTCTCCAGGATCGCGCCCTGGGCCAAAGGCTGGCGCCAAACCGCTGCGCCACCCGGGGATCCCTATAAATACTTTTAATTGGGGATCCCTGGGTGGCTTAGCGGTTTTTAGCGCCTGCCTTTGGCCCAGGGCACGATCCTGGAGTCCCGGGATCGAGTCCCACGTCGGGCTCCCGGCATGGAGCCTGCTTCTCCCTCTGCCTGTGTCTCTGCCTTTCTCTCTATGTCTATCATGAATAAATAAAAAAATTTTTAAAAATACTTTTAATTTTTGTCAACAGAAGTAGCTAATACTACTTTATTTAACTTTGTTCAGTTTTCAATTGGGCTGTTTGCTTCTTACTGATTTCTAGGTACTTTTTTTTTTTTTTTTTTTAGAGAGGGAGAGAGCAAGCGAGTGAGCTGGGAGTAGAAGAACGGAGAGAGGCAGAGAGGGAGTGAGAGCTGGGCGTGGAGCCCAAGACAGGGCTTGATCTCAGGACCTTGACGTAATGTTTCCTTCATCATTAAAAGGTCAACCCAACTAACTCCCTCCTTTCAGATTCTCAGACACTGCTCCCTGATGACCCACAGCAATGAACAGATGGTGCCCCACAGAGATTCACCTCTCTCTATATGTATCCAGTCATCCCATTCTAATTGAATTTTATTCTCCTTTAAATTGGTATTCCTCATATCTTCTCCCCTCTTTTCTCTTTCTCTCCTCCCCATAAACACTGAAAGTCATTTTAGGGCCTACTATACTTCAGATCTGTGCTTCTAATATATAGATGCTCAAGAAATGTTACTGATGTTGATGAGAGCATATGCCCCTTTATATTCCAGCTTCTATGGCAGGAGTCACTCTTCCAACTCCCTTCCTACTCCCAAATGCCTTACAGGGTTAGGCAGAAAGTAACAGAATGGGCAGTCTAGTTCCATGGAAGGAAAATGAGAGGCTATGGCAACTGTTATCAACTGGAGAACACAACCACCTAAAAGAGGCATCGTTACTCGGCTCCAGTAAATTGTTGTCAAGTAGGAATATAAGCTCCATGATAGCTTCTCCATTTTTTAAAAGCTGAAAACCTGTATTTTATGTTAAATGTGCCTTTTTTTTTTTTTTTTTAAGATTTTACTTATTTACTCATGAGAGACACACACAGAGAGACAGAGACATAGGGAGAAGCAGGCTCCATGCAGGGAGCCCGATGTGAGACTTGATCCCAGGACTCCAGGATCACGGAGGGACTTCATGTTTGACTAAAAGGTATATACAGAGCGGCGCCTGGGTGGTTCAGTCAGTTAAGAATCCCAGACCTGGGGCAGCCCCAGTGGCTCAGCGGTTTAGCGCCACCTTCGGCAAAGGGTGTGATTTAGCGCCTGCCTTTGGCCCAAGGCCTGATCCTGGAGACCAGGGATTGAGTCCTTCATCAGGCTCCCTGCATGGAGCGTGCTTATCTCCTCTGCCTGTGTCTCTGCCTCTCTCTCTCTCTCTCCCTCTATATCTCTCATGAATAAATAAATAAAATCTTAAAAAAAAAAAAAAAAAGAATCCCAGATCTGGGGATCACGCTCAAAGGCAGATGCTCCTGAGCCACCCAGGAGTCCCTAAATGTGCCTTTTAAATATCAGGTCAACATTGTGTGTTTGCTGGGTTGTGAGCACGTTGAGGTCAGACTCTGTATCTGTCTGGCATATAAGAGGCACTCAATGTTATTTTCCCATTTGTTTTCATTCCATTAGACTTAATGAAATATCCACATCAACTAATGAAAGATAAAGGCACTTACATGATAACTAGTAATTAGTTATTCTAATATTTTATTTCTATCCCTCAAACCAGACTAAGTAACATGAAGGAAGAGATCCTATTATTCATCACATGAGATCATATTATTCATTCACACAGTACCTGGCACATGGAAAGGTCTTAGAAAAACTTGCCAGTCATGTGTTGAACCAATGAATGAATAAATGAAGACTCGATTAGGTAATCAATTTACACTTAGACTGTTAATTTAATTTTAAAAGTAAACATCCATGTAATTAGTTAAGTACTTGGCACACTGATCCAAGATGTAGGATAAGAGAACATCCCTTAACCCCACTCTTTGTTTTACTTGTCAAGTATCAGTCAATATTTAATATTGGTAGAAAATGATGGGTGACGATATGTAGGATCTCACAATGAAAATATGACACTCTTTACCACAGTCATGTCCAAACCCATGGCTGCCTGGCTTTCAACGTTAGTCTTGGGCAAAGAAAATCCCCGAATTTTATACCTCTTGGCCCACACTTGGACTGTTTAGGACTTCTTCCCATGGTCTCTCTGGATGCTAGTTTTTGGAGGTCCATTCTCTGGGGTAGGTGTTTTGGGGTCTCAGTGGTGGGCACTGCCTTGCTCTTTCCTCCTCTGCAGCTCCTCCCGCCGCCTTGCCTGTTGTTCACTCATGCAGTCCCTGAAGGCCTGTACCTGTGGCTGACACTGTCGCCAGTCCTGGTGTTGGGCCATGCACTCCTGTACTGCATAATGGGAAGCAGCACAGCCAGAACGGGAGATCAGCTGGTCCAGCGGGTCCTCTTCCTCATTCTCCTTCTTCACCTGTCGGGCCCAGGTATGGCCTTGAGTTGACATCTTTGGGAGTCTCTAGAGTATCGACAGAGGCAAAGTCAGAGTAGGGATGTGATTATGAGGTTCCACTACTATAAATAACACTGACCAAACTGCACTGTTATAGCCTATTTATGCATCTGTCTCCTCTTGGAGACTGTAAGCTTATTTGAGAACAGGTACTGGGCCTGATTCACCTTGGTGCCATCGGCATTAGGTCTGGCAAGAGAGCAGATCTGCAAAATGGTTTGAATTCAATGGAATGACATAAAGTATATGAGAATGTTTAGCACAGCACTAAATAAGCTTGAATGGATTCTGCTAATGGAATTTGAATTATGAAATTTCACCTTTTTGGAGCAGCTGTCTTGGATCAACCCTAAAAGAATTAATCTTTTTTTTATTTTTATTTTTTTAAGTTTTATTTATTTATTCATTCATGAGAAACACACACACACACACACACACACACACACACACACAGAGAGGCAAAGACGCAGGCAGAGGGAGAAGCAGGCTCCACGCAGGGAGCCCGACGTGGGACTCGATCCTGGGTCTCCAGGATCACGCCCTGGGCTGAAGGCGGCACTAAACCGCTGAGCCACCCAGGCTGCCCTAATCCTTTTTTTCTTTTAAAAAAGATTTTATTTATTTATGCATGAGAGACACAGAGAAAGAGGTACAGACATAGGCAGAGGAAGAAGCAGGCTCCCTGCTAAGCAGGGAACATGATGCAGGACCTGATCCCAGGACCCTGGGATCACAACCTCAGCCAAAGGTGGACATTCAACCACTGAACCACCAAGATGCTCCTAATCTCTCTTCTTTTCTCCTATCAGCCTTTTCCTATAGTGGGAAAAAAACAGTTTAACACTTGGGAGAGTACCCAAATATGGGCAGGGTTTGACATATTGGAGGAATAGAGAGTTCAGTGTGGCTGTAGAATAGTGTGTGCATGGGCCAGGGCAAGAGATGAGCCTGTGAGGTGAAAGTGCTTATTGTGAGGTCGATTTGCCCAGACTGTGTTGCCAAAATCATCTGCTTCAGAGCACCCAGCGGAAAGTGCCCTATAGAAAGAACTTGAGAAAGGTTTGCAGGGAAATAACCTCAGCCGTTATACAAATTGCACCATGAAAGGCTTTAAAAGAATTAGCACTCTAATGCCTTTCCTGTCTGACTCATTCAACAAATGATCATTGAGTACCTACCATATGATGCACTATGCTAGAATTGAGGAAACAGGAGTCACCAAGCCCAATTTAGTTCCTGCCTTAATGGTATACAATCTAGACAATAAACATGTTACTACACAGTGTGCATAGATAGCTAAGGTTGGGAACACAATGGAGGAATACCTAATCCAGACATGTTGGATGGGCAGGGCAGGTTTCCTGGAGGAAGTGATTTCTAAACTGAGACTTGAAGGATGAATAGGAGTTGGCCAGAGATGGGGAGAAGGAATATTCCCAGGCAATGGACAAACAGTGTCAGGAGTTGAAGAGAGGATTTGACACAGGAGAGGAACTTAAAATTCTGTATGACTGGAGAAGAGTGTATAAGGAGAACTGTAAAACAAGTGAAACTGGCACTATGATAAAGTATCTGATCATAGCAAGATCTTGTTGGCCATGTTAAGCAATGGGAAATTTACAAGGATTTAAGGACTCCATAGCCCTACCCAAAACCCATTTACTTTGGAGGCAGTATAACCTCAAGAAGGAGAGAGGAAATAGGTTGGGATTGGGAACCTAGTCTTGTTACTGACTCACTGAGCGACCTTAAAAAAAAAAAAATCACTTCATAACCTCTCTTCAAAAATAGTGTCTACCTCACAGGATTGTTGAAGATTGAATGAGCTAATGGACGTTAAGAAGCCTGCCACGTTCAATGAGTTTTTATTACTGTACAGATAAAGTGCCCTGGATTCTAAGACATGGCATCCAGCACCATGTCTTACTATACCATCTTTTTAGCTTCCTCCTTAATGATACTTAAGTCACAAAATTAATGTAAGGATTAATAAGATAATGTACGAAAAGTGCATGGACGACAACAGGGTTCAATAAATGCTACGGTACTCTTTCCCCCACCATATCTCGCCTTCAGTCTTTCCTGGAGTAAAAAGAGGCAGACCCATGCTTGAAGATCAGGGCAGGCTACATGGTGGCAGCTGGCCTGGACGAGAGAGGCATGGAAAGCAGAGAAATTTAACTGTCCAAGTCACCTGCAGCTGCTCTCCTACTTTAACGCATGCGCATACGCGGCAGCTGGCCCCCCGCTGTGCCTGCTACGCCTTGCCGCGCAAGGACGCTGTACGCGGGGCTCACCGAACAGGTTGGACACGAGAATTCGAACGCACGTTTCTGCACGTCGGCCCCCGTTTTGCAAGCAGTTGGAACTCTTCCGCGCCCCCGACCGGAAACCAGCCTCCGCTGGGAAGCCTGAGTACGGAAGTGGGAGGAGACGGGTCCGCCGCGCATATTCATTGGTGGCCTCTCACTATAGATCCCGCCCCCAGGCCGCGCCGCAAGCCCCTTTGGCGACCCACTTCCGGCAAAGGGCGGAACAGGCGGGCAGGTGGAGGCGGGGTTAAGATGGCGGCGCCTTTGAGGATTCAGAGCGACTGGGCCCAAGCTCTCAGGTGAATCAAGGCCCACAGCTGGGACGGAGGAGGGTAACGCATGTTGTCTTTGCGTTAAGGAGGGCTTTACCCGGTCCAGGATAGGGATTACCTTCGTCATTTGTTGAGGGATCAACAATGTAGCAAACCCAGTGGTCATTGGTTTTCATTCTCAACGGAGCTGCCCTGAGGCCAAGGGAACATAGATGCGCATTGTGACCCGAGCATCAGAACTAGGATCAATGTGTTGGAGAAAGACAGGAAAACTGGTAGGCAGGAAGACTCTTGGCCGAGAAATCATAGGCATTTAGCAAATATTTAATGGTCGTCAATTCACAGGTCCTAGTACTCCACCACCTCCACGTTGTCTTTGAGTGTATGATGGAATCTTTGTATCCTCCTTGGACCCCTAGTGGTACGTTGGACATATTGGACACTTCTATTCAGGAAACAGTGTAACACCCGCTATGTCCATGCTCTATGCGTGTAGAGTTTAGATGAGTAATCTAAATTTAAAGCGTGGCTCCTGCCCTCAAGAAGCTGACAGCTTGGGGCAGCCCGGGTGGCTCAGCGGTTTAGCGCCGCCTTCAGCCCAGGGCGTGATCCTGGAGACCCGGGATTGAGTCCCATGTCGGGCTCCCTGCATGGAGCCTGCTTCTCCCTCTGCCTGTGTCTCTGCCTCTCTCTCTCTCTCTGTCTCTCATGAATAAATAAAATCTTTAAAAAAAAAAAAGCTGACAGCTTAATTGGGAATGCACAGCAAACCACCTCTTTGAAACGTTGATTGATGGATACCGTGTAAGTTATTACTCTGTGCACCAGGATCAGTACGGCAGTGCCATGAATGGCAACTATGAACATTATTCATGTTCATAGTTACTACTAAGGGATTTTTTAAATTGAAACGGTGAAGATGAATAAAGCATAGTTTTCTGAAGTTCAGAAAATTACACTTTACTATGTGAGCTAAAATAAAATACACATTGCTTACTACAACACAGAATGTGTGGTAAGTAATGCAGGAAGAACAGATATTTACTGAGGGCCAAGGTGCCTATGGGAGAATGCAGGAGAGGAATCAGAAAGTAACATGTCCAAGATTTTGCAGTCAATAAGTGATTGTTCCTGTGAAAATCTTTTGTCTTAAAAACGTAGGTATTTTTCACTATACCCTAAAAGTGTTAGGGTGATGAGATGAGGATTTTGATGATTGGGAAGTGCATTCGAAAACCTGTAAAAAGTCAGTGTGAGGGGGATCCCTGGGTGGCTCCGCGGTTTAGCACCTGCCTTTGGCCCAGGGCGTGATCCTGGAGACCCCGGATCGAGTTCCGCGTTGGGCTCCCTGCATGGAGCCTGCTTCTTCCTCTGCCTGTGTCTCTGCCTCTCTCTCTCTCTCTCTCTCTCTCTCTCTCTCTCTTCCTCTCTCCCTCTCTCCCTCTCTCCCTCTCTCTCCCCCTCGCCCCCGTGCTTCTAATGAATAAGTAAATTTTAAAAAAAGTCAGTGTGAGTTGGTAGAATGCAGACATTGTGTACTAGTCTCATGTTTCAGTTTTAGCTTTCCAGGTAGCTAGGTGACCTTGGGAAAGTCATTTTTTTTCTGATCCTCAATTTTATCTTTAACATGGGGATATTAAAAGGTATATTGTTAAATTGTGAAGATTAATGATACTGTTTACAAAGTGCTTAGCATGGGGCTTAGCTTACAGTAATCCCAATAAATATCTAAATATAAAGCATTCCTGATTTTTCTTTTTTTTTTGCATTCCTGATTTTTCAAAGCTGTGTAGCTTATAAATGAATAATGAACTCCTTATTGTTGAAATAATTTGAATATTCATTTAACCAATAGATATCTATGCATTAAATACTTAATCCATGACTATTTCTTCATTAAATAAAGTTTGTCTTATAATCTGTCTGTGGATGATGAGATATTAGGCTAGATCATACTTATGTACTGTCCAGACTAAAAATTATATAATCTTTCTCCCTTGCACCAGTGGCATCCTTTTCAGCATTGAATGAACCTAATTAGTCTTTTGTCTCTCTTCATAGGAAGGATGAAGGGGAGGCCTGGCTGAGTTGTCACCCCCCAGGTAATATCCATAAGCCCAAATTACGATGCCTTCCCTGTAGAGAAAGGGGATTTACTACCCTTAGAAGAGAGCCTCATAGTTTCTCTTGGCTCAGACTCCTTGTACAATGTTCATAGTTTTCAAATGTTCTTGAGCAGTTTATGGTAGGATGTCTTATTTAGCCCCCATCACTGCAAAAGTAGTGTTCTCCTTAAGCAAATTGTCTAGATTACTGAAAGTTAACTCTTGGCTATGTATTATGTGTATATACTGTGGAAAAATCCATATATGCATGATGATCTTCAACTTTCATTCTGGAAGAATTCCATTTCATAGTAAAACTGAGTTTCAGATCACTCTAGTAGCTTTTTTAAAGACATTCATTTATTTTAGAGAGAATGAGGACAGCAGAAGAGGGAAAGGGAGAGAAACTCAAGCAGACTCTGCACTGAGTACAGAGCATGTCTCAGGGCTCAAGCTCATGACCCTGAAATCATGACCTGAAAATCATGACCTGAGCCAAAACCAAGAGTCTGGTGTTTAACTAACTGTGCCACCCAGGCGCCCCTCTATTAACTTTCTTACAAATGCTGTATCTTTAAATCTTTGTACCTGGTTTTTAGCTCTTGAGCATATATTCCCTCCCAAATTAGGTTCCCACGCTAGGGCTTTTTCCACTTCACCTCATTTTAACATAAGAACCTTTTTTTCTTTCGTGAACCAATTTCATACCATCTGTACAGATGCCTGAATTGAGTCTTCTTGGAGAACAGGATTAAATTCTTATTATTTTCTTGAGAAATGCTTCTTTTGTGCTATGTAGGGAAACCAACTTTGTATGGCAGCCTAACTTGTCAAGGAATTGGCCAGGATGGCATTCCAGAAGTTACAGCTTCAGAAGGATTTATTGTGAATGAGATAAACAAGGTAGGTTTTTATGCCTTGTAAATGACACTGAGTCCAAAACTAGGTTAGTACCTATATATTTACTTTAAATATTTATACTATTATTTATATATGTATCATCTTTATTTGTATAGTAAACAATTTTTACTGCCTTTGAATGGTAAGAGTTTTTTTTTTTCTTTTGTAGTTACATATACTTTGAGATACATTTATTTATTTATTTATTTATTTATTTATTTTAAGATTTTATTTATTTATTTGAGAGAGAGGGCAAGCAGTGGGGAAGGCAAAGACAGAGGGAGAAGAAGACTCCTCCCACTGAGCAGGGAGCCTAATGTGGGACTCTATCCCAGGATCTGGGAAATGACCTCAGCCAAGGCAGATGCTTAACCGACTGAGCTGTCTGGGCCCCCTACTTTGAGATACTTTTAGTTGCGTATACTTGTTCTTCCCTTGTATCAGTGCTGTCTAATAAGATAAATAATGTGAGCCACATATGTAATTTAAAATTTTCTAAGAGCCACATGAAAAAGTTAAAAAGAAACAGGTGAAATTAATTTTACTAATATATTTTTTAATATAGTAGATCTGAAATATTATTTCAACCTGTAATTAATATTAACAAATTATTAGTGAGCACTTTCCTATTTTCTTGAGGTTTTTAGATCGTGTGTATATTTTACATTTATCACACATCTCAGTTCAGACTCCTTTTATTGAAAATACTTGATAAATATATTAAGGTTCTATACATTTACAGTTGAGAATATAGATTCACATACCCCAGTAGTTCCAAATTTACTTAAAAAGTTTTCCAAAAACTGAGGCAAGTATCAGTTTTTAAATTAAATTTTAAATAAAATAAAAAATACAGTTCTTCATATGTACTGGCTGCATTTCAAATGCTCAATGATCTAATGTCTCCATTATCTACCATTATTGGACAGTATAGCCCCCCCCTTTTTTTTAAGGATTTTATTTATTCATGAGAGACACACAGAGAGAGAGGCAGAGACACAGGCAGAGGGAGAAGCAGCCTCCATGCAGGGATCCTGATGTGGGACTCAATCCCGGAACTCCAGGATCATGCCCTGGGCTGAAGGCAGATGCTTAACTGCTGAGCCACCCAGGCACCCCAGTGTAGCCTTTATAATGCCTTTGGCTAGGCCTTGAGGAAGACCTACATTAATAGTACTTAATAGTTTTTCTTATTGGTCTTGAGGTGAATAGACAGCCAAACTAAATATTTGCAGAACCCATAATCTGACTTTCCTTACACATTCTGCCATCAGTATGCTCTGGTGGGTGAGATTATTCCCAAAGCCTTTCTTTCTTTCTCCTTTTCTGTGTAATTAATTTTTTTTTTAGTCATGAAATATTTCAGGTATACTGATGAGAATAGATGATACTGATTTTAAATGTTCATTAATAAATGAACTCTGCAAGGCAATAGGCTATATGTTATTTCATATATTTTGCATTTGTTTTTCATAAGCAGCTGTGGTATTGTAGAAAAATGTCAGAAGATCTGAGTTCAAGTTTTAGTTAACTCTGACACTAGTAATATGATTTTGGCCAAATAACTTAGTTCTTTGAGCCTCAGTTTCCTCATCTGTAAAACAGAGATGATACTCTATGTGTAGGCTGATTAACAGGGAGTGAGACTGCATATGAATGAAACTGTAAAATCTTACACAAGTGAATTATTATTACAATAATCTTGTGGGATTGACATTTTAAATTTCCATTTTGCATATAAGCAAACACACTCAGAGAAGTCAATTAACCCCAATAATCAAAGCTAGTTAGACTGTATGCCAGAATTGAAACCAGTCCTATAAACTTCCAAATATGAACACTATCTTGCAAGCCTACATTTTCCCCAAATGTTTTGCCAGTATCCATATCCACAGCCTCAGTGCTGACCTCTTTTCTTCCTTCATACCTAGGCCCTAATACAGTCCTTATCTCTTCCAACTTCATTGCTAATTTCTGCCTTGTACCTGCTGAGTAAAACAATTAGTGCTTATGGTTGCAAATGCATTTGTTTCCTAATTGCCATGGGTCACTTTGCTATTTGATGTTGCTGCATTGTTCTATTGAACAGTAAATTATGCTTAAATACTTAATCCTGGAGGATAAAATGTTTGTGAATTTTATTTTAGAGTGGAATGCTCACACTCCTTCCACCACCCCTGCCGTGAATTTTATGTTTTGATATCTTCTATAGCTTTTCATTAAAATATTTTCATTAACAGCATGATTCTCTACTGCTGATATTGGAAGGTAGTTCAACATTTTCTCTTCTTCCATAGTTTGTTTATTAAAGGTTGATTTGCTTAATTGGCAAGAAGGAGAAAACTACTGATTCTTGAAGTCTTTCACATAATTAGTCACAAAGAAATGAAGTCTTCTGGGCAGTCTGGGTGGCTCAATGGTTTAGCGCCGCCTTCAGCCCAGAGCCTGATCCTGGAGACCCGGGATCCAGTCCCATGTCGGGCACCCTGCATGGAGCCTGCTTCTGTCTCTGCCTCTCTCTCTCTCTGTCTCTCTGTCTCTCTCTCTCCCTCTCTCCCTCTCCTCTCTCTCCCTCTCTGTGTCTCTCATGAATAAATAAATAAAATCTTAAAAAAAAAAAAAAAGAAATGAAGTCTTCTGAGAACAAACCCAATTTTTACAGATGCCTGAACACTAAGTTCTTGAAGTTCCTTGAATCCTTCCTTGCTGGTAGGAATATTTAAGCCAGGGGAGTTTAGCTGATACTTTAGTTTTGGCTACAGGAGACAATTCCAAATCCAGGTCAACTCTCTTGCAGCTGTATGGGCTTTGTCATATGGTAAGAAGCAAAAACTTGTTTAATGAAAAGCCTGCAGGCAGCCACATATGAATATGCTGGCTAAGAAAGTGCTGTTGGTATAAACAGATAATCTTACTGTCTTTTTAAAGTAGTAGAAGACTTGTAATAAGAGCATTTTGATTTTTAGTGATGAGAATGTTATTATTTTGAAACTGTTCTTTCTAAAGAACTGAGAACCTGTGTTTGCTGTGTATAGATTAGTCTTGGAATGAGGTTTAGAAAATTTTGAAGACATTTTCACCATGCAGCAGAATTTCTAGCAACTTTGAAGTACTGCTGCAAAGATAACAGGTTAGGGGCCGTTTGGTGAGTAGCTTCCCATAGGAGATAGACACGTAGGTGGTGGTGTTGGTATTCTGGCATTAGGTTAAAGGACTATCATATTGCAGGAATTCCTGAAGGGTTTACCAGGCCTTTTATGCCTCTGTATATGCTACCTTGAGACCCCAACATACTTAATGTTGAATGGTTACAAAGGCTGCCGTGTGCAAGTCATATCACCTGAACCTAATATCTTTTTCTGGGTATGATTTCCTACTATGTCAGTGTTTTCTAGGTATGATTTCCTACTATGTCAGTGTTTCCTACTAAGCAAGTGTTTTCTTGCTTCAGTAGCTGAAATGTTAAAATGGCTAGCAAAACACATGGGGAATTAATACAGCTGTGGGCGATGAGCAGTCAATTTAAGTCCTAGGTAGGAGTTATCACTGCAAGCCTGACCAGGGACTGCTCATTGTATAAGTGTACCATAATTTATCTAATTTACCAATTTCCTCTGGTAACTATAGATGTTAGTAGTCTAACATTTTTTTTCTAAAAATTCCTACAGGCAATAAGTTTACTTTTAGACTGGTCTTTTAGGTCCTAGACTTGAAGTCTGGTGCTGTTTCCTATCTTTTAATTCTGTTCCTTGCCCCACTGCTAGTTGAGAGTATTGATATTAGATTCTCTTTTAAAAACTAATGCTCTATGGGGATCCCTGGGTGGCTCAGCGGTTTAGCACCTGCCTTTGGCCCAGGGCGTGATCCTGGGGTCCCAGGATCAAGTCCCGCATCAGGCTCCCAGTATGGAGCCTGCTTTTCCCTCCTCCTGTGTCTCTGCCTCTCTCTCTATGTCTATCATAAATAAATAAATCTTTAAAAAAAATCAAAACTAATGCTCTAAATAAATAAATAAAAATTAATACTCTCATATTTGTCATTTGTATCTTACTGTTAGTTTGTCTTCTATGAGAGTTTACTTAATATAAAAAGATAATGGCAGCTAAGCAATACTAAATTACGTCTCAGCCCTCTGCAGTAAAAGGGCTGCTGATCAATCTATAGGGGAGTGATAGTGTCGTGAGCTGGTGGAGGATTAGAGAGGGTACATTTAAAAAATGGGAATTTCCTATCATCCCAATATTTTCTTTAAGAACCTTTCATTCCGGGGGATCCCTGGGTGGCGCAGCGGTTTGGCGCCTGCCTTTGGCCCAGGGCGCAATCCTGGAGACCTGGGATCAAATCCCACGTCAGGCTCCCTGCATGGAGCTTGCTTCTCCCTCTGCCTGTGTCTCTGCCTCTCTCTGTTTCTCTCTGTGTCTATCACAAATAAATAAATAAATCTTTAAAAAAAAAAATAAAAGAACCTTTCATTCCATTGCAGTAACTTTACTGATGAATTTCATCTTATCCTCTCTGTTTAGAAAAGCATTCATATTTCTTGTCCAAAGGAAAATGCATCCTCGAAGTTTTTGGCACCGTACACTACTTTTTCCAGAATTCATGCAAAGAGTGTAAGTATTTTGATAAAATGAGCAGAGAATATAATAGCATGTTAGTTTTTCATTTTATCTGCTTGAGAGCTATAAACATTCATAATTAATAATATTTCATTTACTGTGTATTGTTAAGGTACCATAGAAGTGTGATATGTTTGGCAAAACTGGTATTTGGGCCCACATAGAATATGTATACAAATCGACTCACTGGTAATCTTAGAGAATGGAATGGTCCGAAGTTTACTTATTTATGTTTTAGCAGAGCTGAGTAATGGCTTTTGGAGAGTGATAGCAGCTGTGTTTGTATAATTCGTCACTGCTCATATATCTGTCTCATTGCCTACGGGACAGGGACATTTTCTCAAATTCCAAGTACAGCATATTGAGGAATAATTTTCAGAGGTCTTTGTGATAATGCCCTTTTGACTACCATGATCTTTTTGGAAACATAAATGGGAAATATGTGGATAAACTGATAATATTAAAGGCTTCCATTTCTTATTGTATGGTCTATTTTACAAAGTAGCTATTTTTATCCTTAGTACAAAACAGATGTAGATTTAGTGATGAAAATTTAAGAAATACAAAAAGGTGGAAAATCACTCATATTTTACAACCTAAAGATAACTATTGTGAACTTTTGTTACAAAGTCTATATTAATAATAATTATAGTAGTAATAGCTAACATTTATTGATTGTCTATTATGTGTCTGCACCATGCTAAGCTTTCTTTTTTTCATGCTAAGCTTTATATTTCAGTTGATTCTGTCTTTTTTCTTTAAATATTTTACCAAAATAGGTTTTTATAGTACATGCTGTTTTATAACTTGCTTTTTATTCCTTAATAATATATTATTTACATCATTTTATATCATCTTTCTACATATTCCTTTAAGAGCTGCATAGTATTCCACTGTATCATTTTATGACAAATCATTTTTCCAGTCTTATATTACTTGGACTTTCAGATATTTTTCAGGTATTCCTGACTTCATATTTTGATAATATAGCTAACCCTTTACTCAGAAAGATAGGAAGAAATTAGAATACATTTATAAAATAGAGTTGCTGAGTCCAGGGAATGCAAATTTTAAGTCTTTTGGTATATTCTAACTGACTTCGACTTAACTAATTTATTGAAGTAACTTGCTCTGCATTTTCTGTGTAAAATGTACTGACTGATGCTCACAGCACATTTACAGCTTATAAGCTCTTCTCTGAGATCTGTATACTGCTGACAATACTGGTTAAGTCAACTGATCACCAAGAATAAGTTATAGTATCAGTTACATTGTTTTTGAAATTATGTTAATTAAATATGGTAAACTAATGTAGTATGAATATGAAAAGGAAGAGTGATTATATCTTTGAAAACTAAATTGAGGAACACCTGAGTGGCTCAGCAATTGAGTGTCTGCCTCAGCTCAGGACGTGATCCTGGGGTTCAGGGATCAAGTCCCACGTTGGGCTCCCTTCGAGGAGCCTGCTTTTCTGTCTGCCCACGTCTCTGCCTCTTTCTCTGTGTCTCTCATGAATAAATTAAAAAAAAAAAACTACATTGATTGCTTTGTAAAGACTTGATAAAGAAGAGGTTTTTAAAAAAACTGTTAAAATAGGGGCACCTGGGTGGGTCAGTCTGTTGAGCATCTGGCTCTTGATTTCAGCTCCGATCGCGATCTCAGCGTCTTGGGATCGAGCCCAGCATCAGGCTCCTGGCTCAGTGCGGAGTCTGTTTGAAATTCTCTCTCATCTTCTCCCTCTGCCCCTTCCTCTCCTCATGCTCTCTCTAAAATACATACGTTTCTAAAAAACTGCCATAATAGTATATGTGGACAAAATAAATGCAAGATGTTAGGGAAAAGATTTTTCTTCTTAAATCCTAGGTGAATTTTTACTCTTAGATTGCTTTATAAATGTGACTAAAGATTTACCTTGCTTTAAAGAAATCAAGTTATGAATTATGCCTTTTGGTTAGTAGTTTATTACAGAAAGTCAAGGTGAAACTTCTTTGCAGAGATCAGTAGACTAATGAAAAGATTAGTGAATTTTATGTACATTTATATATTTGAGTTAAAATATGGATATATATGTATTATTTTTTATTATTTGCTACTTTAACTGAATTTTTTTTAATTTTATTAATTTATTCATGAGAGACACAGAGAGAGGCAGAGACATAGGCAGAGGGAGAAGCAGGCTCCATGCAGGGAGCCCGATGTGGGACTCTAACCTGGGTCTCCAGGATCACGCCCTAGGCTGAAGGCGGCACTAAACCACTGAGCCACCCAGCTTCCCTTTAACTGAATTTTTTGATTGATTGACCTACAAGTGGGCCCTGTCCATTGACTAAAAAGGCTTTTTGTACTCTTTTGCTTTTCTACCAATCTGACTTGACATTCTTTATCAATTCTGAGTATTCAATGTTTTTTTCTTAAGTTTATCAGTTTGAGAGAAAGTATTTCATTGTTTTTCAATTTGTGTTCCTTTGATTAATCATGGATGACCACTTTTTCATATATTTACTGGCCACTCTTTGTGTCATTTGCTCATTTTTCTAAGTGAATTTTTTTCTTTATTGGTAAGAGCTCTCATATTAAAGGTATTGACCCTTTGCCATATATTTTGCATAGTTTCTTCTTGCTTATTGTTTATTATTGTTTGTTTGTATCTTGACATACGGATATTTAATATATGTAGATAATAAAACCCATCAATCTATTCCTTTATGGTAACTATTTATGGCATCTTGCTTAGGGTAGCCCGTGATTTCATATATAGTCACTCTTTTTTTTTTTTTAAGATTTTATTTATTTATTCATGAGAGATACACAGAGAGAGGCAGAGAGAATAGGCAGAGGGAGAAGCAGGCTCCTTGCGGGGAGCTGATGCAGGACTCGGTCCCAGGATCCCGGGATCACGACTTGAGCCAAAGGTAGATGCTCAACCACTGAGCCAAGCAAGTGCCCCCCCACCTTTTTTTAAGAGAGGGAGAGAGGTAGGGGAGGGGCAAAGGGAGAGAGAGAATCCTAAGCAGGCTCAATATCCAGCACGAAGCCCAGTGTGGGGCTTGATCTCACAACCCTGAGATCATGACCTGAGCTGAAATCAAGGGTCAGACCCTTAACCAACTGAACTACTCAGTTGCCTATATATATATATATATATATATATATATATATATATATATTCACTTTTAATTGCATAGCATAATGAGTAAGAGCATAGACTCTAGAGATACTCATTGGATTTGACTCCTTGAATTTGAATTTTGGTTCTGCCATTTACTGTGACCTTAGGCTGGGTGCTTAATCTCTATGTTACAGATTATTTTATTTGTAAAATAAAAGATAATAGAACAGATCAGTTTCGCAACCATGCACTATTGATATTTTGAGCTGGGTAATTCTTTATTGTGGGGGGCTGTTCCCCAATTGTGACAACTAAAAATGTTTCCAGACATGACCCAATGTAATGAGCTAATTTGTCCCTGGTTGACAATCACTGCAATATAAGAACGTAATACTGAAGACCAAGGAGGAAGTGATAAACTTGTTGGCATAGTTGGGAAAACTTTTGGAGAAATAGGTCATTTTTTTTTCTTTTCTCCAGCTTATTTTATTGTAAGAATATAGTATATAATACATATAACATACAACATATCTCATAGGATTGTTACAGGGATTGAAACAGAATTTGGTCGGAAACATAATAAGCATGATATAAGTATTAAATAAAATAATAAGTATTAAATAAAATTATAGTATTTTCTTTGAATTTTTATGTTTTTTTTAAATATATATTTCAAACTTTATTTTTGTTATTTGGTTTAAAGTAGGGATCTAATAGGGCACCTTGGTGGCTCAGTTGGTTAAGTGGTTGCCTTTGGCTCTGGTCATGATTTCAGGGTCCTGGGATCAAGCCTCGCTTTCGGCTTCCTGCTCAGTGGAAAGTTTGCTTCTCCCTCTCCTCCTTACCCCACTGTGTTTTCTCTCTCTCTCTCTCTCTCTCTCTCTCTCTCTCTCTCTAACTCTCAAATAAGTAAAATCTTAAAGAAAAGTAGGGATCAAACTTAATTCTTTTTGAGATGACTAGCATATCAAGGCACTGTAAAGTAATCCATCCTTTATCTCACTCACTTGAATTGTCATATTTATCCAATATTTAGGATTATCCCATTGATCTGGTTTTTTTGCTGTAACTAAGAAATAGATCCTTACACTCTGACCTAGGTTTGCATCCTGGCCCCTGGTCACCTTGGGATATTACTTAATCACTTCTTAAACCTCAGAAAGAAAAATAGAAATAATACCTTTCTTACAGATCTTTGAGGGTATTATATGAGGGTAGTGTCTGTTACACGTCTGGTACATAATAGCTATTTAATAAATGTTAGTTTCTTTTCCTCTTTAATAAATATTTGGAGAAAGGAGATACCTGGTATGACCTAAAATATACTCTTCAGTGTTCTGTCACTTTGGAAGAACTGGATTATTCAGATTCAATTACTTTTTAGATCTAGGAATTAGGACTGCAAAGATATGTAAAACAGATAAGGTGACAATATCCCTGTCCCCTCCAGGGACCATATTATATTAACTGAGGGGATATAATAGAACAGTTCAAAGTTTCTCAACCATGCACTATTGACATTTTGAGCTGGGTAATTCTTTATTGTGGGGGGATGTTCCCCAATTGTGACAACTAAAAATGTTTACAGATATGACCCAATGTAATGAGCTAATTTGTCCCTGATTGACAACCACTGCAATATAAGAACATAGTGCTGTAGACTAGGGAGGAAGTGATAAACTTGTTGGCATAGTTGGGAAAACCTTTTGAGAAATAGGTCATTTTTTTTCTTTTCTCCAGCTTATTTTATTGTAAGAATATAGTATATAATACATATAACATACAACATTTTAAAATTAAATTTACTTTTTTTTTTAAAGTAACATGGAGCTTGAACTCACACCCCTGAGATCAAGAGTCACAAGCTCTACCAATGGGGCCAGCCAGGTGCCCCCAAATTTACTTGTTTTGAGAATAGTTGAGAGAAGTAGGTCATTTTTAAGAATTATTAATTGTGCCCTTTTAAAAAAAATTTTGGAGAGTCGTTTTTTTTTTTTTTTTAAGATTTTATTTATTTGGGATGTCTGGGTGGCTCAGCGGTTGAGCCACTGCGTTTGGCTCAGGCCGTGATCCCCGAGTCCTGGGATCGAGTCCCACATCGGGCTCCCTGTGTGGAGCCTGCTTCTCCCTCTGCCTTTGTCTTGCCTCTGTGTGTGTGTGTGTGTGTGTGTGTGTGTGTGTGTGTCTCATGAATGAATGAATGAATGAATGAATGAATGAATGAATAAATAAATATTTACTTATTTATTTTTAATAAATAAATATTTAAAAAATATTTTATTCATTTATTCATTCATTCATTCATTCATTCATTCATTCATGAGAGGCCAAGGGAGAAGCAGGCTCCCTCTGGGGAGTCTGCTGTAGAACTTGATCCCAGGACCCTGGGATCACAACCTGAGCCAAAGGCAGACACTCAACCACTGAGCCACCCAGGCGCCCAATTGTGCCCCTTTTCTATTTCTTATTCTCCTTTCCTCTTTTTTAGTTCATTATTAGGCAATTTATCTATTTATTAATCTCCTACCATAATCCAGGTACTCTGGGCACTAGGACTATAGCAATGAATAAAACTGTGGTGTAGTGCCTACCCTTTTGGGGTATGGGACCAAACAGTATTTGCTAATGACTTGAATGTGAGATGTGAGAGAAAATGAGGAGTTGGGATGATTCCAAAAATTTCCAAAGAAGTGGATAAATTGTGGTGTCATTTACTAATTGAAGTCAAGTAGTTGTATTGGTGTGAAGCAAGGGGAAATGAGAGTTTTGTTTTGAACATGTTAAGTTTGCTGTAACCACTATAGAGCCAAAGGTAGATTCCTTTTTTTTTTTTTAATTCTATAATGTGTCAATTTTCTTTTTTTTTATTTTTTTTATTTTTTTCTTTTATTTTTTTTTTATTTTTTTATTTATTTATGATAGTCACAGAGAGAGAGAGAGAGAGAGGCAGAGACACAGGCAGAGGGAGAAGCAGGCTCCATGCAGGGAGCCTGACATGGGACTCGATCCCGGGTCTCCAGGATCACGCCCTGGGCGGAAGGCGGTGCTAAATCACTGAGCCACCTGGGCTGCCCTGGTATCATCTTAATTTTTAAACAGCAAAAGATGGAAATGATAGAACTGATATGGGGAGAGTAAAACATTTTTAGTTGAAGCAAGAGACTATAGATGATTACAAGAACATCTTTATGTTTTGAGAAATAAAAGGTGTTGGCACTAAGTAGCCTTGTTAGGAGATGGGTGATAACACCTCAAACCTTCACATGAAAACACATGTCCTTTGTGCTGGAAAGCATAGGCTTGAAGTCTTGGAGGAGTGTGAAACAGGGGAGATCTTTAACATATTTTAGGGGAAAAAGAGCATTTCATAATTTATAACACCAGTTATCTTGTCTTGAACAGATAACATGCCTGGACATTTCCAGTGGAGGCGGCCTTGGTGTGTCTTCTAGCACTGATGGGACCATGAAGATCTGGCAGGCTTCCAATGGCGAACTCAGAGTAAAGACTTTGGATATGTTTTTAGGGTCTTATACCTGGAAGGTGGTCTGAGAAGCCTTAGACTGGGTCACTGAAAGAAGAGTGGTGCATTCTAAATTTATAGGACCACTGCACTTCAATTGGTCTTTGTTTTCCCATTTGTTAGTCTCAGAACCATCCTCAATCTTGATTTGCCAGAACAGATTAGGGCTGGAACAGTGGAAAAGCCAGGCCAGTGAATGTCTAAGTGGGTGGTCCCTTGGTATGAACTGCCTTCAGTGATCAGTTGCTAAGACAGATTAGCTAGGTTATTATACTGATTATATGGCTAAGCCTCTCCAACCTATACAGAGGATTTTAAGAAGAGGTGAGTAAAGGAGTCCTGAAGCCTCCTCAGCTCCTTATATGTAGAACTAGACTTAAGGATGGCTGTTAGAACCTTGGAGTTCAAATCCATAGCATCTGTAGGCAAAGCTACAGGAAAGGGAGTTAACAGATCTTAGAACACTACCTGGTATACAAATGAGCTAAAGAGATCCTTTTGAACTTCCATAGTTTAAAAACCCAGCATGTAGGTATAGGATGTAGACATTTCATTTCAGGGACCAAGGATATGAGAGGTAAGAGAATATCGGGGGATGGACAAGAGAACTAGCATGGAATTTTCTTTTGTTTTTCCAGAGAGTTTTGGAAGGACATGTGTTTGATGTGAATTGTTGCAGGTTTTTCCCATCAGGCCTTGTGGTTCTGAGTGGGGGAATGGATGCCCAGCTGAAGATCTGGTCAGCTGAAGATGCTAGCTGTGTGGTGACCTTCAAAGGTCACAAAGGAGGTAATGAAGGCTGATTTCTCCAAAAGGCTTCTTTAATGATCCCCAAAGACAAATCACCAAAAAAGGTAGAAAGAGAAGCTAATTAACTGCATAAAACACAATTCCTCTAACTGGCCATTTAAATGGTGTATTTCCTCAAGGATTAGAAATTCCTTTGACACTGAGTCTTGTTGCTATCTAGAACTAACTGCCTTACACAAATAGTTGTTTTCACAATTGATAAGTGGAAAAAAAAAATCCTCCCGAGGAAGTCATCTGCTTGTGTACTGGGAGAGAGAGAGATGTGTGCCAACATTTTCTCATTATTAGTCCTTTGAAGCTGGGTGGCAAATGGCTCTGTCACTAAATATCAAAGTTGGAGCTTGGTACTTACTGTCATTTCCTATGGATTTAAGTCACAGTTCAGATTTTTTTTTTAGATTTTATTTATTTATTCATGAGAGAGAGAGAGAGAGAGAGAGAGAGGGAGGCAGAGACACAGGCAGAGGGAGAAGCAGGCTCCATGCCTGGAGCCCGACGCGGGACCGGATCCCGGAACTCCAGGATCATGCCCTGGGCCAAAGGCAGGCGCGAAACTGCTGAGCCACCCGGGGATACCCCACAGTTCAGATTTTAAAAATGGATTAGCCATATAGCCAGTTGATACCAGGTTATAGAGACAGAATGAGAACATTTTCCATTTGTAACTGGTTGGTTTGTGGGAAAAAATTATAAATTAGAGATGTTTTATCTTTTTTTTTTAAGATTTTATTTATTCATGACAGACACAGAGAGAGAGAGAGAGGCAGAGACACAGGCAGAGGGAGAAGCGGGCTCCATGCAGGGAGCCTGATGTGGGACTCGATCCCAGGTCTCCAGGATCACACCTTGGGTTGAAAGCAGCACTAAACTGCTGGGCCACCGGGGCTGCCCATAGAGATGTTTTATCTTTAATTGAAATGTTAAAGGTGCTAAATGTTATTCTTGCTTTACAAGTTTAGATATTTTTGAAAAAGTAATAACATCCCCAAATAATTCCTTACCTTGTTCCCTCCTTTGGAACCATAGTTCCAAATGTTATCTGTGCCACTCATTTGAGAATTAATTATATATTGCCCTATACTTAAATGGTATTTAAACTAGTCTTTTGCTTTGTGTACCTGACTATATTATAAATGACTCGTGTGGTTGAGTTTTAAATTTTAATATTTATTTATAATGATTTGTCAGGGGGCAGCCCCGGTAGCTCAGCGGTTTAGCGCCGCCTGCAGCCCAGGGTGTGATCCTGGAGACCCAGGATCGAGTCCCACGTCGGGCTCCCTGCATGGAGCCTGCTTCTCCCTCTGCCTGTGTCTCTGCCTCTCTCTCTGTCTCATGAATAAATAAATAAAATCTTTAAAAAAATAAAAATAAACTTTAAAAAATATATATATATAATGATTTGTCAGGTTACATACAGATCATCTAGCAAATACATGTTAACCTTAGCAAGGTTATTTCTGAGACTATTAGTACGTAGTTGTATTGAGAATGAATAGAAAAGATATTTGGAGCCTTCCTTGCATTCATCCTGAAAAACTGACTGGTCTACAGAGTCAAACTGGCCTGCATAAATGGGGAGTCCAGGAGACAAACAGGTCTAGAGGAACCCTGAGTTACTTCACATCTGGCTATCCTTCTGAATTTGTGAGGCACAGGGAAGTTTTACAAAGGAACAAGATGTAACTGTTCAAGAACGTAAAATGCGTATTCAGTGTCAGCGCACATTCAATTTAGGAATTCCTTTGGGCTACTGCAGTTGAGTATGCCTACCACATGAATCCTAAGTCATCCAGTGTTCTTCATTTCTTCCTAAGAATACATGTGCATCACTTAGCTTAGAGTGAATTACCTGATGTTTGTTAATCTGATTGAATCTATTCATTCTTTGGCCTTATGAGAAAGTCCCCAGGTGGGGTGGGAGCTTCTCTAGATATAACAACTCTGACTTTTTTTTTTCAGAGGAGGATTTTTATTAGGTTGAATAAAAGTGATAAACTGTAGGAGAAATGACATGAAGTCAAATCTAGGCTAATGTCTGTCAGGTGTTGAATGCTCCTTCCCAGGTAGTTCTGTAAAGTAGGGCCAGGTTTGGTGTTTCCTATTCTCCTACAACACAGAAAATTAAAATTAATCTCTGTTGTTTAGCAGCATATGGGTCACTGTCTCCAGCCAAATGAAAACCAAGTTGCATTGTATGGCTCCTTTGTAAATAATCTCTTTAGCTTAAAGATTTTGGAGCATGTTTATTAGCAAAGGCCATAAACCACATAAAAAACAGAATAAAGAATTATTACCTGCATTTGTGATCTTTAGTGGTTTCACAAGTGGTGAGTAAATAAGAAACAGAAGATAGTATTGAAAGTGAACATGGTCTTTTAGTGCCTAGGTTAAGTCTTGGCAAGTGAGACATAGAAGAAACCACCAGAAACACTGGACTGAACATAGCCTGATGCTTATTGCAAAGAACCATTAGGATGCTAACAAAAGGATAAACTTTTGTTGGTTTGATTAAGTCCCTGGCTTGCTTATTGCTTCTAGTATATGAAAATGTGGTAGTTAGTGAGACAGTATGTAGAGTGTTTAAGCATGTGATTTGGACACATAAAAATCTTGATTTTTTTTTTTAAAGATTTTATTTATTTATACATGAGAGACACACACAGAAAGAGAGAGAGAGGGAGGCAGAGACACAGGCAGAGGGAGAAGCAGGCTCCATGCAGGGAGCCCGATGTGGGACTCGATCCCGGGTCTCCAGGACCATGCCCTGGGCTGAAGGCAGGCGCTAAACCGCTAAGCCACCAAGGGTGCCCCAAATCTTGATTTAAATCTTAATTCTTCTACCTAGAATCTGTATGACCACAGATAATTGCTTAATTAAAAAAAAAAATTGCTTAACTATTCTGAGCCTTAGTTTCCTCATATAAAATGGGGATAAAAATAAATAAATAAATAAAAATAAAATGGGGATAGCAATATTAAATGAGATGGTGCATATCAAAGATATAGCATAATCCCTGGTATTATAATAAATACACAATAAATGTTATTGTTCATACAAAATACAAAACTAAACTTTAAATCCCTGGCAAAGAAGGTGAGATTTGTGATGTTTTAACATACTTGTCATATGTGAAAAGCAGAAATTGTTATTTCTAATAGATTAATTCTAATAGAATTTTTCCAGTAGAAACAGATATGATCCTAGTTAATATATAATTGGTTTTCCCTTGTACTTTTATTTTTTTCCCTTGTACTTTTAGATATATATTTTATATATAAATAAAGGATTAGTGTATTCTTTAATTAACAAGCAGAGATAAGATTTGTGTATGTTTTTAAATCTTTCCAGTGACAAGATAAACTAAAAGTAGTTTTGTCTTTGTAATATAGTAGTCTCCCTTAATCTATGGGGGATACATTCCTGGACCCCCAGTGGATTCCTAAAACTGCAGATAGTACTGAACTGTGTATATACTTTCTTTTCCTATATATACAAACCTATGATACGTGATGGGCAAGTGTGCACTGTGTGGATATGCTGGGTAAAGTGATGTGATTCATATCCAGGACATGATGTAGTGGGACAGTGCAAGATTTCATCTTGCTACTCAAAACAGCATGCAATTTAAAATGTATGAATTGGGCGGCCCCAGTGGTGCAGCAGCTTAGCGCTGCCTGCAGCCTGAGTTGTGATCCTGGAGACCTGGGATTGAGTCCCATGTTGAGCTCCCTGCATGGAGCCTGCTTCTCCCTCTGCCAGAACCCAGGAGTTCTGTATGTATAAATAAATAGATAGATAGATAGATAGATAGATAGATAGATAGATAGATAGATAGTATGAATTGGAGCCTGCTTCTCCCTCTGCCAGAACCCAGGAGTTATGTATGTATGTATGTATGTATGTATGTATGTATAAATAAATAAATAAATAGTATGAATTATTTATTTCTGGAATTTTCCACTTAATATTTTCAGACCGGGTTTAACCATGGGTAACTAAAACCACAGAATGACACTGTGGTTAAGGGGAGACTACTGTATATGAGTCTTTAAATAGCTCTAAGGTATTATTTTAGTTTGAAGTTTTTAAATTGCCCAGGTCATTTAATTGAGTTTGGTGAATTTGGAGATATGTACAATATAATCTTTTGAATAATAATAATTCTTTCTAATAAGTACCAGATCCATTCATAATCTATGAAAATGTTGAAGCCAAATGAAACACCATTTTAGTTGATTGGTTGAGTTTTTTGTTCACTATAACAGGAAAGCTGCTTACATTTGTGGAATAATTTTAGGAAATCAGGTTGCATTTTTAGCACTTCAGCTATTATTTTCAATCTCCTCTCTGTATTTTCTTTTAAATAAGATATGCTGCCTCCAAGTAATAGTAGGTGCTTTAGGGATCCCTGGGTGGCGCAGCGGTTTGGCGCCTGCCTTTGGCCCAGGGCGCGATCCTGGAGACCCGGGATCGAATCCCACGTCGGGCTCCCGGTGCATGGAGCCTGCTTCTCCCTCTGCCTATGTCTCTGCCTCTCTTTCTCTCTCTCTGTGACTATCATAAATAAATAAAAATTAAAAAAAAAATAGTAGGTGCTTTAAGGCTCAGTTATTTCTAAGATCTGAGTCGCAGCCATTAGTCTTGGCATGTGTACACATACACACACAAATGCGCATGCGGATGCACATGCACACCCACGTGCATGCATACCCCTTCTCTCATATGTGTATATTTTCTCCCTGGCAACATTAAGCCAATTAACATAATAGTAAAACTAGATAATTTTAATATAGTAAACTTTTTAAAAACTGCCAAATGTATGAATTTTGCTCTATTTCTTGCTAATACTTATTTTTGTCATAGTTTCATTTAACATTCTTAATTCCCAGACATTGGCTAGGATGTTTACATGTAATTCAGCTGAATCTTTTCTTGAGGGCAAATGCTTTTTCATCCTGTTTTATATGTTGAGGACTTACATCATTTTGGTTTAATATCTAAAGTCTTTATGGTTTTTGCTATGGCTGCCTCTCTTACAAGGGCATTCCTGCTACTTTTATAGCTTCTTTCTAGAGTAATTTGTCATAGGCTCCAGGTCCTGTAAGGTTCCTCTTTCTTTTTTTCTTGTCATCTAAGAGTGAAGAGACCCATACTAGATGCCACCATATTGTGAGAGGGTGGTTAGGGGGAAAGTGGAATGCTACTTCCCACTACTTTGTTTTTCCTCTTTCCACCTGTTGTTGTCAGGTCAGGGTAGAGTCTCAGCTCACCACTGGACCGTGCTGACAGTACTCTGCTGGGCCCGATTATTGTCAAGGGTCAAGGGAATTGGACTGCTCCCTCCTGCTTCACTGGGGATGGAATAAAAGATCACTCTCTGTTTAACCTCACTGACCTTGGGGAAGGGGAAGTAGCAGTTTTTCTCTTGCTATTTGAGTTAATTTGCAAAATTTTCTGTTAGGCCAGTACTTTCCCAGTCTTTTGCAACAGACATTTCTTGGAGTTGTTTTTTTGTTTTTTTGTTTTTTTTTTTTTAATTTAAAGATTTATTTATTCATGAGAGACACAGAGAGAGAGGCAGAGACGTAGGTAGAGGGAGAAGCAGGTTCCCCATCGGAAGCCTGATGCAGAACTTGATCCCAGGACCCCAAGATCACACCCTGACCCGAAGGCAGACACTCAACCACTGAGCCACCCACATGTCCCTGTTTTTTTTTTTTTAAATCAATTATTTGTTGCAGACTTTTGCAGTATCCTATCCAGAGTATATGGGAAGCAATAAGGAAATCCAGGGAATTCGTTACCCTGCTCTTCAAGTCCTAGATCCTTCGGTGGTTTGCCGCCTTTCCATCTTTCAGTCTTCTTATACTTTCTGTCTTATGTCCAGTTTTTGGTTTTTGGTGTTTTTTTTTGTTTTTTTTTTTTTTTTCAGTTATAAGAGAAAGGACCCTAGGAGAAATGGGGCTACTATATCTTGGCCAGACCAGAAATCACATCTTTTTTTAAGATGGGGAAGTTAATCCTTTCCATTAGTTCTCAATGGAAGCAATAAGACAGTGATTTTCAAACTGAACTAAGATGTCTTCTCAATTTCTCAATTTTTATTTAAAAAACATGTTTTAGGGATGCCTGGGTGGCTCAGCAGTTGAGCATCTGCCTTCTCTTCAGGCCATGATCTTGGAGTCCCAGGATTGAGTACCACATCGGGCTCCCTGCATGGAGCCTGCTTTTCCCTCTGCCTGTGTCTCTGCCTCTTTGTGTGTCTCTCATGAATGAATAAATAAAATATAAAAAAAGAAACACCAAAACAAAAAACAAAAAACAAAATTAAAAAAACCTTGAAAACCACTATTCTAGGACACGCCACTAAGAATTAAATCCAAACCTTTTTCCATATCTGTCTCTAAGGGCTAGTCTTTGAACCATTGGAGAGCAAAGACTCTCTTCTATTTCTGTTTTTCCAGCACTTGAACTTACCCAGCGTGTAGTACATATCCAACACATGTTTGTGAAGCAATGAAGTCATTTATGCAGATCCATCTTTTCTGCCCTTGTAGTTCCTTTATGACCCACTCCATCACAGCGTCTTTCCCCCCCTTCCCCCCCCTCAGGTATTCTGGATACAGCCATTGTTGATCGAGGGAGGAATGTGGTGTCTGGTTCTCGAGATGGGACAGCACGACTTTGGGATTGTGGACGCTCAGCCTGCCTGGGTGTCATTGCAGACTGTGGTTCTTCCATCAATGGAGTGGCTGTGGGTGCTGCTGACAACTCCATAAACCTTGGCTCCCCTGAGCAGACGCCTAGTAAGTTGATAATTATTATGTTGAATTTATTTTGTTTCCTTAGGCACCTTCAGTGTTTGTCTTAGCTTCTCCTTTTCTTCCTCATCTTTTCTTTGTCTTGGCTGGTATTTGTATTTTCACCATAAGTTTAATATTTATTGCATACCTACTATGTTTCTGTTGTTTTGGAATCTACAAAAGTGTATGTCATTGTTAACTATATTTGAGTAAGTACAATCTAGTTTAGCAGGTAAGACTGATGCCTATAAAACAACAAAAAAATTTTAGCTAAGAGAACTTAATGATTCTTTCTTTAACATAATTTTTTAAAAGATTATTTATTTATTTATTTGAGAGCGTGAGAAAGAGCACGAACAGGGGGCAGGAAGAGAGAAAAGCAAATTTCCCTGAGCATGACAGCAGACTCTCCAGGACCCCGGGATCATGACTGGAGCCAAAGGCAGATCTTAATTGACTGACCCACCCAGGTGCCCCAACAACTTAATGATTCTTTTTTTTTTTTTAATATTTTTTTTCTTTATTTATTTATGATAGTCACAGAGAGAGAGAGAGAGAGAGAGAGGCAGAGACACAGGCAGAGGGAGAAGCAGGCTCCATGCACCGGGAGCCTGACGTGGGATTCGATCCCGGGTCTCCAGGATCGCGCCCTGGGCCAAAGGCAGGCGCCAAACCACTGCGCCACCCAGGGATCCCCCTCTTTTTTTTTTTTTTTAAAGATCTTATTTATTCATGAGAGACACAGAAAGAGAGAGAGGCAGAGACATAGGTAGAGGGAGAAGCAGGCTCCATGCAGGGAACCCGATGTGGGACTCAATCCAGGCATTCCAGGATCACGCCCTGAGCCAAAGGCAGATGCTCAACTGATGAGCCACTCAGGCATCCCCAACTTAATGATTCTTAATGCAAATAAAATAGGTTTTTTTGGAAGAAAAGAGTATTTTATATTTTAGGTTAGTGTAGATGGGAAAGTTGTCACAAAGAAGTTGACTTAAACCTTAAAAGATGAATTTGAGTTGAACAGACAAGAATGGGAAGGATGGGAGAATAGGAGCTGGGAGTAGAGCTAGGGGCAGTTAACATTGAAATGGTGTGGAGGTGAAATTTACTAGAAAGAAAGGTATATTTGGCTGTGTAGGTTGGATTTAGAATAGTAATAGTGCAGGGCACTTGACTGCTCAGTTGGTAGAGCATGTGACTCTCCATCTCAGAGTTATAAGCTTGAGTCCTATGTTGGGTGTAGAGATTACTTAAAAAAATCTTTAGGGGCACCTGCCCAGGCAGTGGAATATGCAACTCTTGGTATTGGAGTTGTGGATTCAAGTGCCATCTTGAATGGGGTAGCGATTACTTAAAAATAAAATCTTTTTTAAAAATATTTATTTTTTTTTAAGATTTTATTTATTTATTCATGAGAGAATATAGACAGAATATAGACAGAACAGAGAGAAGATAGAGACATAGGTAGAGGGAGAAGCAGGCTCCTTGCAGGGAGCCCAATATGGGACTTGATCCCGGAACTCTGGGATCACGCCCTGAGCCAAAGGCAGACGCTCAACCGCTGAGCCACCCAGGAGTCCCTAAAAAAAAAATCTTTTAAAAAATATATTTCTTAAACCAAAAAAAAAGAGTAGTAGTAATGGGAAATAGGTGAGTAGAATGATAGCTTTGGGGAGTCAAAATGATAATGTCTTGATAAGGCAACTTGCATTCTTTTCTTCCTGTGATTGTAACTAATAGTTGCTTTTCTGTTTCTATAGGACTATTATTCTACCATTATATTTGCTTCTCACATTAAAAAAAAAACAAAACACAAAACTTTATTTTTTTAGAGCAGTTGCAGGTTCGCAGCAAAATTGAGCAGAAAATACAGTTTTTGAGGGGCATCTGGGTTAGTCCGGGCTCATTGGTTTAAGCATCTGCCTTCAACTCAGGTCATGATCTGGGGTCCTGGGATTCCCTGCTCAACAGGGAGTCTCTTCCCCCTCTCTCTGTACCCCTCCCCCTGCTCATGTTCTCTCTCACTGCACTCTCTCCCTCAAATAAAAAGAAATCTTTAAAAATAAATAAAATTGATAGGTTTTTTTTGTTTGTTTTTTTAAGTACAGTTTTCAGGGTGGCTCAGTCAGTTAAGTGTCCAACTCTTGGGTTTGGCTCAGGTCATGATCTCAGGATCATGAGATCCAGCCCTGTGTCGGGCTGTGTGCTCAGTGTAGAATCTGCTTAAGGGTTCTCTCTTTCCTCCCTCTGCCCTCCGCTTGCTCATGCTTGCACATGCTCACTCGCTCACTCTCTTTCAAATAAATAATCTAAAATTTTGAAAAAAGAGAAAGTACAGTTTTTGTATACCCTCTGCCCCAGACAGCCTCCTCAATTATCAGTTTATCAACATCCCTCACCAGAGTGGTATATTTGTTACAATTGATAAACCTTTGTTGACATATCATTATCACTCACATAGTTTACATCAGGGTTCATTCTTGGTGTTGTACATTCTATGGATTTGGGCAAATGTATAATGACATGAATCTATTATCGCATTACACAGAAGATTCCCTGCCTGAAAAATCCTTTGTGCTCCACCAATTCATCCTTTCCTTTCCTATAACCCTTTTCCTCTCCTTTTAACTTTTGGCAACCACTGATATTTTTACTGTGTCCATGATTTTGCCTTTTCCAGAATGTCACATTTGGAATCATAAACTATGTAGTCTTTTCAGGTTCGTTTCTTTCACTTAGTAATAAGCATTTAAGGTTCCTCCTTAATGCTTTTTGCACTGAATAGTATTCCATTGTCTGGATATAATCTCATTTTATTTATCTGTTCACCTATGGAAGGACATCTTAGTTGCTTCCAAGTTTTGGCGATTATGAATAAACAAAGCTGCTGTAAATATCTGTGTGTAGGCTTTTGTGTGGACATATGTTTTCAACTGATTTGGGTTAATTTTACCCTTCACTTTTGACAAAACTGTAGGTACTCTCCCCCTACCTTAAACTTCCCATGCAGATGCCTGTGATCCAAGAACTAAAACTATTACTGACCACCAGATGTTCCCTGAACATCTCTCTTTGGAATTAATAGGAAGAGTCATTTTCCCAAAATGTGATACATGTGCAATTAGTGATAAGATCATGTCAGGCAGTACACATTTTTAATAGGTATATATTTAATACATACACATTTTACTTCAAACATAAGATATCCCACAAATGTTACTTAAAACAAGGTCAAGTTTTTAAAAATTTGTTGATTTAAAGTAAGTTAAATGAAAATATTCTTGTTTGCTTTATTTCCTCATTTCCCACTTACTCTTCAATCCATTCTAGGGTAGTTGGAGCTCCTGTGGCTTAACTGCATTAGCTCTCGTCAAGGTCCCTTGTGACTCTGTGTTGCCTGATCTACTGTTACATCTCTGTGCTTATCTCTCTGAATTCCCAACAGAATTTAACATGGTAAACTCCTCTCCTTGGGACACTTTTCTTTCTAGGCTTCTTTCTTCCTATCTCACTGGCTGCTGCTGCTTGGTCTCCTTTTATAAATTTCCTTTATTCTTACTTTAATTATTGGAGGACACTCAGTTCTGGCTACAAGGTAATCTCATCAGTTCCATGACTTTAAATATTGTATTTAAACTGGTAATTTCAGTTAAAAATGTCTGTATTATAAGACCTCTCTCCTGAGTTTCAGACTCTTTAGGTGTCTGATAGACACTCAAACTAATCTTGTCTTGCATGGAGTGTTTGATTTCCGCCCCCCCCACCCCAAATCTGTTTGCCCCATCTCAGTAAATGGCACCACCATCTACCTATTTGCTCAAGCTCAAAGCCTGATCATACACCATCCACCCCACCTTTCCTCACATCCTCCATCAGCAAAATCTGTCATCTCTACCTTTATAGTGTTTCTGATTTCTCCACCTACCCTCTTCTTTCCTCCTGTCAGTATCCTGGTCTGGTCTGGCATCAGCTGTTGCCTGTACTAGTCTCTTATAATCCATTCTCAAAGCAACCATTGTGATCATTAAAAAAAAAAAAAAAATCAAATCATGTTGCTCTTCTTTGTCCCTACTGTCCTCCAGTGACCTTTTATACATATATTAAAATCCTGTCCCCTTCACTTGGCTTATCACAAACCCTTAACACTCTCTGTCCTCTCCAGTCTTTTCCAGCTTCATGTCATAGTGCCCATACTTCCCAAAGCTTTTTGTAAGACTGGTTTCTGGTTACCATTCAGGTCTCAGTTGAAAAGTGGCCTCCATGGAGTTTTTTAAAAGATTTACTTATTTATTTTAGAGAGACCAGGATGAGGAGTAGGGGGCAAAAGGAGAGTCTTAAGTGGACTCCTCACTGAGTGCAGAGCCCGACACAGGGCTCGATCTCATGACCCTGAGATCACGACCTGAGCTGAAAGCAAGAGTCAGATACTTAACTGACTACACATCCCAGGTTCCCCTCCATGGAGTTTTTTGATAGGTGAAGTTTGAATTTAAAATCACCAGGGTACCTGGATGGCTGAGTTGATTAAGCATCTGCCTTTGGTGCAGGTCATGATCCTGGGGTCCTGGGATTGAGCCCTCTGGTGGGGAGCCTCCTTTTCCTTCTCCCCGTCCATGCTTGGGCTCTCTCTTTCTCTTAAATAAATAAAAAAATATTAAATAAAAATAGAGAAATAACTTTAAAATTACCTTCCTTAGTGGAACTCATCACTGTCTGAAAATATCCTATTTGTTTATTTATCGATTCCACTATTAACTATTTCCACTAGAGTTCTTGAGAGTAAGGACTTTTTTGTATATTACTATTTCCTTAGCACCTAGAATAGTGTCCAATACATAGTAGACCTTCATTAAAGATTTCTTTAGTGAATGAATAAATTTCGTTTACTCCAGACCATAAGAGCCTTGAGGGCAGAGACTATTTTGTTCAGCATTGTACCCCTGCTCCTAACATGGTATCATGTCACATTGCAAAGGACTTAATATTTTTAAGTTGGGTTTATTGACATATACTTTATATGTAGTAAAAGTTTATTTTATTTTTTAAAAATTAGCTTTTTTGGGGTGTCTGGGTGGTCAGTTGGCTGACCATCTGACTCCTGGTTTTGGCTCAGCTCATGATCTTGTGGTTGTGGGATTGAGCCCCACGTTGAGCTCTGTGCTCAGTGTGGAGTCCACTTCAGATTCTTTCTCCCTCTCCCTCTGCCCCTTCCTGAGCATGCTCTCTTTCTCTCTCTAATAAATAAAATCTAAAAAAAAAAACTTTTAACTTATTTATTAAATAACCTCTTACCCCCAACATGGGGCTTAAACCTACAACCCTGAGAATAAGAGTTGCATGCACTACTGAGTGAACCAGCCAGGTGCCCCAAAAGTCACCTTTTTAAAATATCAGTTCTGTGAGTTTTGACAAATATGTACAGTTATATAAACAATACCAACAGTCAAGAAATAGAATATAGTAAATGCTTTTTTTAAGTTAGTAAGTTAATCACTAACAGTAATTCAATAAACTCATCAGTATCTGTGCTTTCTGGTACTGCCAGCTGATCAGCCTAGCCCACTGTTGACATGGCTTATCTATCATGCAGGTGAACGGGAGATTGGAACAGAGTCAAAAATGCTGCTGTTGGCACGGGAAGATAAGAAACTTCAGTGCTTGGGACTGCAGAGCAGGCAGCCGGCAAGTGGTTCCTCCAAGACTGTTGAGTTCTGGGGCATCCTGGATCACTCTAATTTTTGGAAAGCAGTTTTGGAAATGTTTCTACTTGCTCCCTGTGTTCACTTTCTGAGAAAGCTGCAGGAATAAGGGCCAGTAAAATGTAATGATTAAGAGCATGGGATTTGGAGTAAGGGCAACATTTATATTCTAGCTCTTCCATGATAGCTGTGACATTTAAGAGGTTACTTAACCATTCAGAGCCTCAGTTTCCTCATCACTAAACTGGGCATAGTAGTATTCACCTCGTAGGGTTTTGTGATGAGGATTAAATACTGCTTTGTGACCTTCGTTAAATCACTTTCTCTCTGGGCCTTAGTGTGCTATATAGAAAATGATGAGGTTATGTAGATTCCCTTCCATATTCAAGGTAATGTGAAGAAATTCTGAATAAAGGACTCATGAATTCAGGGGTCTTGATCAATTAATGACCAGATGTCTTTTATGGAAGAATTAGTTGAATTTTCTTCCTTCAGCCTCTGAAGTTTTGCTGGGCGGACTGTGCTCATCATTAAGTCCTGAGTTCCCTGGGATTTGAGTTTTAAAATTTCTTTTCACCTCCTATCAACCTCAGCAAGACAACTTTAATGGTTTGGTTTGAAAAAAAAAAGGGGGGGGGGGATCCCTGGGTGGCGCAGGGGTTTGGCGCCTGCCTTTGGCCCAGGGCGCGATCCTGGAGACCCGGGATCGAATCCCACATCGGGCTCCCGGTGCATGGAGCCTGCTTCTCCCTCTGCCTATGTCTCTGCCTCTCTCTCTTTCTCTCTCTGGGACTATCATAAATAAATAAAAATTTAAAAAAAATGGTTTGGTTTGGCCACAGGTTTTGTATTTTCATTTCTCCTAGTTACTTCATTGTTCTAGTGATGTTTCCATTTTCAGAAATGAGGTTCCAGGAACATCACTCTTTTTGATTCTATCATCTCTGTACTCTGCACTGCTTTACCTTCCAAAGGGAAATCACAGGTTTTGTTCATTTGGCCGAGTTTGGTTCTTTTCTTTCCTTTTTAGAACATTTGAGGGAGAAATGATCAGATTGAGCCAACAGTAGAGAACAAATAAAAATCTGATAACTCCTTTTTTTCAGGCACTTGGGGAGAATTGTAATTTTTTTTTTTTGTAATTCTTTAAATTGCCGCTTTAAGCTTGTTTCTTTTCCTACGTAGTATCTCCCTTCAAAAGGTTGTTAGAAGTGACATGAAGCAAAATTTCAATGTGTGAATCCCAAGTGTTTCTCAAATGGAGAGTTGTAATGAAAAGGGGGAGGAGAAAGATATTGTGGACTGAAAGTCCTATGAGTCGTTGTGTTGAGAGATTAATAGTCTGAAAACTGCTGCCTCCATGTATGGTAGTACTTACACTGCTGAAGTCCTGGGCAAGCCTTAGATTCCCTAAATCCTGGGAGGGGTTCCTCCTCAGTCATTGCTGAATATTTTGTTTAGATTCACGGTGCTTAAAGGGAGAAGAAATAAAATGTCTCTAAAAATGGGAAACTTTGGGGATCCCTGGGTGGCGCAGTGGTTTGGCGCCTGCCTTTGACCCAGGGCGCGATCCTGGAGACCCAGGATCGAATCCCACATCGGGCTCCCGGTGCATGGAGCCTGCTTCTCCCTCTGCCTGTGTCTCTGCCTCTCTCTCTCTCTCTCTCTGTGACTATCATAAATAAATAAAGAAAGAAAAAAAATATTAAAAAAAAATGGGAAACTTTTTTTTTTTTTTTGGTGCCTATTTATTCCTGAAAACAAATTAATCTTTAAGCAGCAGTTTTGGCTTCTGCTTGTTTTCAGGTGTTCCTCTTTGTTGGCTCAGATGCCTTCAACTGCTGCACTTTTCTCTCTGGCTTCTTGCTATTGGCTGGGACACAGGATGGAAACATTTATCAGCTGGATGTGAGGAGTCCAAGGTGAGTCACCATTCATTTGCATGATGCAGGTCTTCTGCAGAGTGGAAATTTTTATTAGCTTTAACAGATTTAAACAGATTTAGCATAGTGTAGCATTTAGGTGACTATTGAATCAAGGTATATTTTTCCATTCATAAAGGTTTTCCAGTGTGAGTTGTCTGATTGCTCTTATTATTCCTGGAATCATATTAAAAGGTAATTTGATTCATGCTGTCATGATTGTCCTATTATAGTTCTGACTTTGGAATCTACGCTTAAATAATGAACTAACATTTCACTTAAAATGGTTGTATAGAACTTTTAATTTTAAGGAGCTCAGTAATTTTCTCAGTGTTATTAAATCTGGGTTGGTCTAAGATTGATCATTTTTAGTTCAAGTAAGCCAGCTGTGTTTTTTGTTTGGCTTTGATCATAACCTACCTGAAACAGGCCTTATTCAGGTCTTAAAAGTACCCAGAGAGAATCACACAGCCTCTCCATCCCAGGATTTAACAGTTTCTCCATTTCTGTCCCTTCCTCCTTCCATTTCTGTCCTTTGTTCAGCTGACATTTATTGAATGGCCTTTGTGGTCACCAGACATTGTGCAGGGCACTGAAAAACAGAAATAAAAGATACAGACTCTGCCTTTGAGGCATTTGGAGTCTAACAGTAGAGACAGGCAAGTAAAAGACGTTTGTGATGCAGTGTGTGAGCAGTGGGCTCCACACAGGAATTGGAAAAAGCACTGAGAAAGAGAAAGAAGGTGGGACTGCTTCTCCAAGGAAAATGAAGCTTTAATTGGATCTTGTCCAGTAGGAAGTTACCAAGTAAAGAAGAGAGGGGTCTGACATAGGTAGAATAGCATACAGAGAGAGATACATGAAGACATTTGGAAGTATGACATTTTCAGGGATCCTTGAGTAGTTTAATATGTTTAATATGACAAATATATACCCTGCAGACAGGGTAGCAGTGAGAAGTGATGCCAGACAGGAAAGCAGGAGTTTGTTTGAAAGAACTTGTGTACCATCCGAAGGAATTTGGTCTTTATTCCAAGAGCAGTAAAGAAATTCCAATGAAAGGTGACTAGCTTATACCTTTTCTTCCATAATTTGAATTACTTTACTTCTCTACTTGTTTTTTTCTCTGTGAAGATAGGGAATCTCGGATCACTATTAGAAAATCAGCCTTACAGGGGTGCCTGGCTGGCTCAGTTGGTAGAGCATGAGACTCTTGATCTCAGGGTCATGAGTTCAAGCCCCACATTGGGTGTAGAGACTACTTAAGATTTAAAAGAAAAAAGAAAATCAGCTTTACATACATATTAAATTGATTCTCACCTTTCTCTTTTTATCTTAAAAAAAGTCCTGACACTTTTAATATCTCACAGCTGTCTCACAACTGTCTCACAACTGTCTTAATTCTGTCTATGAGCAAAACAACTAACATATTGTTAACATTGTTATCTTAAACTCTTGTCAGGCCTCTCCTAAAAACTGGAGTTATTGGTGGTGACTTAGTTCATTCAACTCAATGACCTGTTTAGTTAGAGACATGTTTAAATTCACTCCAAGGTGATTTTGAGTGGATCACCTTGATCTACTGTTTAAGGATCTTGCCAGGAAAGAAACTTTATGAATGTTTAATCTCTATCCACAGTTGTCCTGTTTGCTTTTGTATGGCTAGTACCATATATTGAATATAGTCTTAACATTTTGCTTTTGAAGTAAAAAAGGGAAATTTCCCCTTTTTCTTTGAATTCTAGGACTCCAGTACAAGTCATCCACAGATCAGGAGCACCAGTTCTGTCCCTGCTGAGTTTCAGAGATGGATTCGTTGCTAGCCAAGGTGGGCCCAGGGGCCACTTGAGAGAGATGGCTTCCTGTAGTTCATTTTTTTTTTAAGATTTTATTTATTTATTCATGAGAGACACAAAGGGAAAGAGGCAGAGACACAGGCAGAGGGAGAAGTAGGCTCCTTGCAGGAAGCCCGATGCAGAACTCGATCCGAGGTCTCCAGAGTCATGCCCTAGGCTGAAGGCGGCGCTAAACCGCTGAGCCACCCAGGCTACCCCTTGTAGTTCATTTAAACTTAGATTTAGGGGTGCCTGGGTGGCTTAGTCCATTAAGCATCTAACTCTTGATTTCCACTCAGGTTGTGATCTCAGTGTTGTGAGATTGAGCCCTGGATCAGGCTCCATGCTGTGTGGAGCCTGCTTAAGATTCTATCTCATGAGATGCCTGGGTGGCTCAGGTGGTTGAATGTCTGACTCTTGATTTTGGCTCAGGGTCACGATCTTGAAGTTACGAGAAGGAGCCTCATGTTGGATCCAAACTTGGAGCCTGCTTGGATTCTTTCTCCCCCTGTCTGCCCCTCCCTTAAAAAAAAATTAATGATTCTCTGTCCCTCTTCCTCTGTCCCCCTCTATCCTACCCCCACTTCCCCACTCATAACCCTCTCTATATATATAAAAAATAAGTAAACAGAGGTTTAAATACATGATCTATGATGGGGCTACAGGCATGGTCCTCCACAGTTCTTTGGCATATTGTATTTATCAGTAGTGTTTATCACCGGGGATCCCTGGGTGGCTCAGTGGTTTAGCGCCTGCCTTTGGCCCAGGGCGTGATCCTGGAGTCCCGGGATTGAGTCCCGCGTCAGGCTTCTTGCATGGAGCCTGCTTGTCCCTCTGCCTGTGTCTCTGCCTCTCTCTCTCTCTGGATCTCTCATTAATAAATAAAATCTTAAAAAAAAAAAAAAAGAGTGTTTATCACCTACACTGTGATTGTTTATGTCTCCCTCTAGTCCAGGATCCTTGAGAGTAGGGACTGTGCTTTATTTGTCGTAACTCTGTTTTCAGAGGACAAAACTAAGAGCAATAAAACAAAGTTAACCAGGAGCCATATTTCAGTTGAATATGAGGAAAATGTTCTGTTTTGTAAGAGAGAAGCTGACATTGTGAAGAGTACCACTACCTCTGGGGATGGACAAGCATTAGGCTGGTTGGCTACTCTCAAGGTGTTATGAAGGGAATTCCGTACTAGTTTAGAAGTTGAATATAGATCACCTTTGAGGTCCTTTGGAACTCTTTGATTGACTAGAGAGGAGATTGAAATTGCCAGATTAAACAATTTTGAAACTTTTTATTATGGAGATTGTCAAAGATTGATAAAAAGGTGGAGAGAATAACATAATGAACCTGATATACTTATTATCTAGCTTTAACTGTTACCAATTTGTGGCTAATACTGTTTCATTTTGTTTTACACATTCCCTTACAATCCCCACCATTGTAATATTTTGAAACATATCACAGACATTGTATTATTTTACCTGTCAATATTTATATAAATATCTCTAAAAAGTAATAATTCTTTAATGAAAAGATGATTTTTGGGGTGCATAGCTGGCTCTGTTGGTAGAGTGTGCAACTCTTGATCTTGGGCTGTGAGTTTGACCCCCATGTTGGGTGTAGAGATTCCTTAATAAAATAACGTTTTAATTTTAAATAAAGGGACGCCTGGGTGCCTCAGCGGTTGGGCACCTGCCTTCGACTCAGGTCTTCTCCCTCTGTCTGTGTCTCTGCCTCTCTCTCTCTCTCTCTCTCTCTCTCTCTCTCTGTGTGTCTCATGAATAAATTAATAAATCTGGGGCACCTGGGTGGTTCAGCGGTTGAGCATCTATCTGCCTTTGGCTCAGGGTGTGATCCTGGAGTCCTGGGATCGAGTCCTGCATTGGGCTCCCTGTGAGGAGCCTGCTTCTCCCTCTGCCTATGTCTCTGCCTCTCTCCCTGTGTCTCTCATGAATAAATAAATAAAATCTTAAAAATAAATAAATAAGTCTTTTTAAAAGGCCAAAATTTAAATAATAATAAATAATAATTTATAAAATATTATTTTTAGTAATAATACAAGAAAGGATAGGGTCTTCTTGTATGCTGCTAGTTGGAGTATATAGATTAACAGATAAAATATAAAATTGACAGTTGTTTTGGGGGATCCCTGGATGGCTCAGCAGTTTAGTCCCTGCCTTCAGCCCAGGGCATGGTCCTAGAGTCCCAGGATCGAGTTCCACATCAGGCTCCCTGCAAGGAGCCTGCTTCTCCCTCTGTCTGTGTCTCTGCCTCTCTCTCTCTCTCTCTCTCTCTCTCTGTATGTCTCTCATGAATAAATAAATAAAATCTTAAAAAAAAACAGTTGTTTTGTTTCTCTCTCTCTCTCTGAGTAAATAAATCTTTTTAAAAAATAAAATAAAATAAAGATTTTACTTATTTATTCATGAGACAGAGAGAAAAGCAGAGACATAGAAAGAGGGAGGAAGCAGGCTTCATTCAGGGATCCCAATATGGGACTCGATCTCTGGGTCCGGGATCATGCCCTGAGCCAAAGGCAGACGCTCAGGTGCTGAGCTACCCAGGCATCCCCTAGCCCAGCATTCTAGGCAGGCAGTGTAAGTCCTCATATTTGACCCACATAATGAGACTTGTTTGCCATTCTGGGTCTTGGGATGATCTTCTTTAGGCTAGTGATGTACAGAAATAAACTAAAATATTGATTTTTTAAAAACTCCTTTACATCCAGCTTTCTCTTCAGTTATCTAAATTTTACTTTTTGCCTTTTAGGTGATGGAAGCTGCTTCATTGTCCAGCAAGACCTAGACTATCTCATTGAGCTCACTGGGGCTGACTCTGATCCTGTGTACAAGGTACAGGCCTGTGAGGAGCCTGGGTGATTCTCACCTGGGATCAAGGGCTTTTGAGAGGACTGAATCCAGCTACTTTGCGGGCATTCAGGATGATAAAATATTTATGGATGAGATAAAAGGAAGTGAGAATTTTGAGTCAGAAGTGATTTCACCACTTCTTAGCTCTAGAAACTTGAAAAATCAGTTCATCTCCCTGGTCATAGTCACCATAAATGATGAAGACATGGGCTCTCACATAGCCTAAATGCCAGAATGCCTCCCGACCCCAAAGATGAGGTTGAGAAACTCCAGAAGTCTTGGAGGAGGTGATGCTGCATTGGCCTATGTCCATGGTGCTGGCAGCCTACTGGCACCATGCACTCACCAAGAAAGGTGGCAGTGGCAGTGGAGCCTCCCCACTGGGAGCTGCATAGCGTGAGTGACACTTACCTCAGCCCCTGGTGCCATTGCATAGCTCCAGCAAGTGCCTTGCTCCTCCACACAGCAGCTGCTGAAATCCTCCTCAGACAAGCACATATTGAGAACTTCTTTGAATATAATTATACAAGATTCAGGAATATCCTGGCCCGTCTATAGGTTATCTCCTTTCCCAGGTACAGACCCTCTGCTCTCAACTATGCACCACACTAATGAGTTTGCTCTCTGCTTGGCTAATTATCTGTTCTGTAGTCCCAGATCCTAGCCACCTATTTTTTAAAATACTATCATGGATATGATTCTTCTCTTGTCTTTGGAGTCAGTAGAGCTTCTTAGACTCACTTGTACTAATGGGAATAAATAACACACCTCTTTTTGAAATGGAAGACTCTCAGGCTTCCTTTGAGCTGTGAACTTTTGTGTTCCAGGTAGCCACATGGGAGAAGCAGATCTACACATGCTGTCGGGATGGTCTCGTGCGACGCTATCAGCTCTCTGACCTCTGACCCCTTGGGAAAGGATTCATAGTTAACGAAAAAGATTGACCCTAATCAACAAAAAGCAAAATAGTCATCAGTCCTTCTCAAGGATCATGGCCCTTTATTGTTTTGGGCACCCCTTGGAAGTCACAGAAAAGCAGCTGCATTGGCCCATGCTGAAGTATCATTCCATGACAAGACCTACTGTGAACTGAGTAAGAAGCTAACGTGTTCCCTGTATAAACTTACCCCAAGAACACAGGGCAAGGATATGGATCCTTACAGTTTGATCTCATACCATTATGTTAAATGTTTACAAGGACTAGAGGACTAAAGCTTGTTCTCTGATGGAAATAAAGAGAATGTATTGTAAGGAGTCTGAATTTGAAAAACTTTGTTAAATATTCTTACTCCAGCAAAGTCATTCAAGATGATGGAACTCCTTTCTCAGGTACTTCCTGTTGGCCTGGCCATGGAGAAACACTACTTATTAGCACCAAATACCCCTTCAGCAGGAACCTGGGAAAGATTCTTATACAGGTAGGAAAACCAAGGACTGAGGGGTTTTCTGCTACATGGGACTTTTAGTCCTAGGCAAACTGATATGATTCATCAGTCCTTGTACAGGTGATAACGTTGAATCCTAGCTTCGTAAAGGCAGTGGCTGAGTGTGGTCCCTGGAACAGCCATATCAGTATCACCTGAGAACTTGTTAGAAATAGAAATTCCTAGGCCCCACCTCAGCCCTAAATCAGAAATTCTGTGGGCAGAGCCAACCAGGTGATCCTGGATCCTGATGCCTGCTAAAGTTTGAGACCTAGAGGAAGAGATAGTAAAGGGCACTTTAAGGGGATCCCTGGGTGGCACAGCGGTTTGGCGCCTGCCTTTGGCCCAGGGCGTGATCCTGGAGACCCGGGATCAAATCCCACGTCGGGCTCCCGGTGCATGGAGCCTGCTTCTCCCTCTGCCTGTGTCTCTGCCTCTCTCTCTCTCTCTGTGACTATCATAAATAAATAAAAATTTAAAAAATAAAATAAAGGGCATTTTAATCATAGCTGGAACACAGCATTCATAGGATAGTGAGGCTAGTCTATAGACAATGAGCCTGGAGAGGCTGGCCAAATAGTGAAGGGGCTTGAGTGCCCGGTAAGGAGCTTGAGTTGCATTTGGTTGGCAAGAAACCTACTACAGAAGAGTTTTAAACAAGGGTTTATAACATGGTCACCTCTTTTTTCCCCCTAAATATAAAAATGGAGTCATAATGTATGTATTTTGTGTTTTATTTTCACTTAGAATCTTGGAGTTCTTTCTTAGTACATTTAGACCTTCATCATTCTTTGTAAGACTTCCCAGAGTTTTACATTTTAGAGATTACTAGAGAAAAGGTTTCTTGGAGGATATAACACTTGAGCTGAGCAATGTAGGCTAATGTCTGGGTTTATTTAAGGGAAGAAGCCAGTTTCTGACTGGGAGAACAGTATGGTTCTGAGCGTTTGTAGGTATGTTCTCAGGTAATGTTTATAACTTCACTATGACAAGCAGGTAGTGAGACTCAAATAAATTGCTTTGCTAAGGGTCATAGGGAGCAAGAACTTGAATATAGTTTATCTTAACTTTAAATCCATTTTTTTCTACCTGTTGTATATGCCTAAATTGTGAAAATAAAGTATTCATTGACTATTACTGGGTATCTACGCTATTTTAGGGACTATATTTATATATTTAATCCAAACACTCTTAAAAAGGAAATGGCATTATTTTGTTTTATAGATAAGGAAACTGAGGCTTGAGAAATTAAGTACCAGACCTTTGTTTTGGACCTTGCTTAGTCTGTCTCCAAGACTGTGCTCCTTCCACTACCCCACATGGTCACGAGACCTCTGGGACTAGAACAGTTCCGTTTTAGGAGTGATTTGTGATAAGGTCAGGTAAACCCAAAGGGACATATTCCAGAGCTCAGAAATATTGGATCCGAGGAGGTCTGGGGGGGACCTCTAAGAAGTCAGATGAAGAAGACAGGATGAAGGAGGATATGGCTGAGTTCACACAGCAGGTATGTCTGTGAGTTCCGATTCCAGGACTCATTCTTCTCCACTGCCATCACATCCATAAGCCCTTTTTCATAAGGTCTCCAGAGCTGATATCCTGATTGTAATGGATGCATAGACTCCTGATAGCTACCTTGAAATCCAGATCCACATGGAAGGACAGAGGTAGCTCTCAGGTGCCGCAAAGCCTTGTCTACTGTGAACAGACTATCCCTAGTGTTAGCAGACAAAGTGTTTTTTTCCTTTTGGGTTGAGGAGTGCATTCTGGATAAGGAATGGCGGACAACCTATATCTGCTACTGTAAAGGCCCAGGCAAGCTAGACTTTGTTTCTTGGCTTTCAGATGCCCCCTTGTGACTTCTTGTGAGAAGTGCCTCTATTTCTCAGATCTGGAAAGCTGGTGGTGGCATCTGCTAGTGAGCATACACTGGGTGCCAGGCACAGTCCTCACAATAGCCTTGCAGAGTAAAGGTTGAACGCATCTCTTTGTGGATATATTTTATATTTTTGTTCCTAATTTGTTTCTCACTTTGAAATAATTTCACACTTGAGAAAAGTTGCAAGGATATGATAACTATATTTAACATTTAGAGACTGTCCGGTTTTCCAAGTGGCTACACCATTTTATGTTCTCAGCAGCAGTGTTCTGATTTCTCCATGTCCTTGCCAACCCTTGGTTTCTCCGTCTTCTTTATTATAATCAGGTGATGTTAATTAAATGGTGTCCACCAGGTTTCTCCATGGCAAAGTATTTTGTTGAGAGCTACTTTGAGACTATATAAATATCCTGTTCCTCATTAAACTTGCATCATGTAGTGTCAGCATTTGTTGATAATTTCTATCTGAGTCAGTTATTACTACTCTGTCAAATGGTGATTTTATAATTCCATCATTCTTTTTATATTTATAATTGGCTTTCTACTCTAAGGTAGAACTTTCCCTTCTCTCCCACTTATTTAATTATTAACTCACTCATTTATCATGGATATATTATTAGTATAGACTACACATCGATTCATATTTTATTCTATGGATTATAATCCATTATTGCTATTATTTATTTTAGTGTTTAATTTGTCCCAGTTGGACGAGTGGCAGCTCCTTCAAGCTGGATCCTATGTCCTTTTGACATGTTAGTATCATTCTTCTAGTGCTTCTATATTTTCTGATACAAGGTATTCAAGCTTCATCTTATACTTTCCACTCCAGTCTTGGAATCAGTCATTTGTCTAGATAGCTCTGGTTCCTTTTCATGGAACATAATGGCATTTGGAAATTAAGATCTGGGCATCATATTTATATTCTTGCCTACTAGGGTATTATTACTTCTAGGCCCTATCAGTGGACATCTCTGTCTCTACATCTCTCATTCTGTATGTACATTAAAGATCATGAGTTCATACTGATGTCACCTAATTCCAATCCAACTCCACTGGGATTATTCTAGACCTCTGCGTATAAACCTTCTTCCAATAGTGAGAAACTTGGCCATCATAATTCTCAATATTTCACTTGCTCAATACCTCTGTGAATAAACAGTCTGGCAACTGCACGGCCCATCTCCCCTTTCACCCCAGCCCCAGCACATGTGGTGTCCCTCAGATAGAGTCTCCTTGTTCCCATGTTTACCTCAGTCAGTCCCAGGCTGAATAAGGCCTTCCCCCAACCCTCTGGGTTTAATTTAACATCTTTTCTCTGGTAATAGGAGTAAAAAGGCCAATATACACATGAAAAGATATGCAATTCTATAGTTAAATGCAAATTAAAATCCACAAAAAAGCTCAGAAATGCAAAAAATAAAAAATAATACCGTATTTTCACTTTACAAATAGGAAACTGTGGCTAAGAAATCATTGTTTAAGGTCATAAAACTAGTAGCTAATGGATAGGATTTGGAACTTGGTCTCTGACTCTACTGCCTCAATGCTAAGGAAGCATTTCTTTGTGACATATGCTTTTGTATAATTGTATTTAGTATTTTTAAACCTACCTTGTGGTGGAGTTTATGTTAACAATCTCATTTATTCAAGGAAACAGACTTGGAGCCATTAAGTAAACTTGCTTCAGGTCACACAAATGGGAAGTGAGCACAGCACCATCAATATAGTTGCTTTCTGACCACTCAACTTTAAAAAATAATAAAATGTAGCACTCTTTGGGGCACCTGGATGCCTCAGTCAGTTAAGCTTCTGTCTTTAGCTCAGGTCATGATCCCAGGGTTCTGGGATCAAGTCCCACATCAGGCTCCCTGCTATTCCCCTGGCTTGTGTGCTCTCTCTCTCTCTCTCTCTCTCTCTCTCAAATAAACAAAAAAAATTTTTTAATTAAATTTTTTAAAACCACACTTACATTTGAGAGTAAAGGAGTAGTACTTAAAAAAGATACTCCTGAAGGAGGAGGAGGAGGAGAAAAAGAAAGATTATAGTGTGGCACTGGCCCAGGGAAACACAAGTGGAACAATAGTCCAGATATAAATCCATATATATTTGGAAACTTTATATGAAACACAGTAATCAATACAGATTGGTGGTGAAACAAAGGACTATTAAATTGGTTCTGGGATTCCTAAAGGGGAAAGGTCCTCCAGGACAAGGAATTAGGGGGTGGTCCTGCACTCCAAGAGAAGACCCAGGCCCAGGCTGAGAGAGTACTTGGCGCCGACACCTCGGGCACTGGACTCCCCTTCCAGCTCTGAAAGAAGGGTTCAGGGAAAAGGAGATAAAACAGAAGAGGTTGTGATTTGGTTGAAGGTGCCTGGTTTAGTGCTGTAATTGGCTCATTTTATATATATATTTATATTTCTTGGAGTAAACATTTTTTTTAATTTTTATTTTATTTATTTATGATAGTCACACACACAGAGAGAGAGAGAGGCAGAGACACAGGCAGAGGGAGAAGCAGGCTCCATGCACCGGGAGCCCGATGTGGGATTCGATCCCGGGTCTCCAGGATCGCGCCCTGGGCCAAAGGCAGGCGCCAAACCGCTGCGCCACCCAGGGATCCCTGGAGTAAACATTTTAAATAAAACGACATCATTTTTTACTCTGAAAAAAATATTGGTTCTGGAAAAAAAATATTGGTTCTGGGACAATAGGATATCAAAAAGAAGAAAATGGGCCTTGTACCATATACAAAAAAAATTCTAGGTGGATTAAAGGTTTAAGAGTGAAATGGACTTAGAAGAAAATATAGGTGAAAATCTTCATTACCCTCCACAGAGAGTATTTCTTAAACTAGACGCAAAAAGTATAACCAAAAAGAAAAAGATTGTTAAGTTCTACCCCATTAAAAAAAATGGTTAAAACACAAGCTCTGAAGTGAAAGGGTTT